GGTCGTGGCGCATATGCCGCGGTCCATGGCCCGTCATGTATACCAGCCCAGCCAGTGGAATTTTGATGAGATTATAATATCCGCTTTATTGCGGGATCACGTAGCCGGAGTGCGGGACGCGGCTGCTGCGGGGAAGTCTATGCATGATATGCATCAATCGATTCACTTTCCAGCTTAAGCGTATTTAAGTGTTTAGCTTAAGCCTGACCGCTTGTGCGCATCTGGAAAACGCGGGAGATTAGTGTAAATATCGTCCCGATGCTGTATACAGTATAGCCGGCGGTTATGCAATTCACAGGACATTGAGAACTCGAAAAAGAATATGCCAGTTCATTTAGATGCCGCATCTGCAAATTGCATGGTCGGCTATACAGGCAAAAAATAAAACCGAAATTATTTTACCCCATTCTAGAATTTAATTAGCTACACGTTTAATACCTGTAACATTTCACATTTTTTTCAGCGTACGGTTTTTACAGCGAACACTAATAATAATTTTACAGCTTTTGATATAATAAAGTTTGGATATTTTTGATGTTGACAGTGCACAAAATTTGTGCGATAATTTCTGTTTATTTCGTTAAATGGCGTACGGGATGCACGAATTATTGCCAATGAGCTCTTTAAGATATTATACTTGAACACTGGTGGCGCGCGCAACTGCATTATGCATAACTACTTTACCATTGAAACTTGTGCGCCACTGCATTAAATTCCCAAGAATAATATTGTCGTTCTTACGTCATGGTAGTCAGGTTCTATTTGTAAAGATTTCAGAAGCAAGTTTATACTGCATTCCGCTTAGATGCGGAAGACCATGAATCGATCAGCTCAGTGAATGCAGCAAGTTACTGCAGGTCATCGATGCCGGTATCGCAACGGGACGTCGGTATAAGAGGGACAACGCTTCCCGTTAACACATTTTAACTGCCTTTTCGCATGCGGGGTTATTTATTACTGTACGAAAATACATTCAACTAAAAAATACCAGGTAAAATCTTCCCAGTATCGCTAACAATTTTTTATATTTTCTTTTCACTAAATTAAGGCAATCTGAACCATGCTAAACAATAAAAATCAGCTCAATCCCCACGGGCAATCCCGCCCCGCAGCCGCACTCAAGTTCCTCCGCCAGGAAGCAACTCAGAAAAATCCGAAATGTGCACTCCGTTCCCGTGTAAATAATTCCACGGGATGATGAGGCGCTCCGGCGCGTGTGCGGCCATCGCCGGGGCGCGCCTTTCTCCTTCAAGTGCCTCCTTGGTCGCGGTCGATCATCTGGCCCAATATCCAGGCGCGGGCGCATCTCCCCATGTACATCTCTCCGTGTGTGTGTGTGTGACTGTTTTTGTGTAATTATACACTGCCTCCGTCTGACACGTGTGTGTATGCAGTGTGCCTGCATGCCATTCTCTCTATCCCGCGAAATGCATGTCCCCTACTTGAGATGCTTGGTCAAGAAGCCACTTGAAAGCAATCTGAAAGTCGGCAGGAAATTGCATTTTCGATTACTCCTTCCCTATCATAATACGCGCTACACACTGACGAACATGTGTAGATAAATGTGTGCGCGCGTGTGTATGTGTACTGTCTACACTAGACACAGCGTCCCTTTTACCGGGAAGAAAAAGCCCATCAGCACTTAAACACTGCACAGTAGCCCCGCATCTCTCTATCTGTGATTTATCATCGCCAGGAAACCAAGTACAATGTGCCGGCATCGCCTGCGGTTATTCACTTTGAGGATTTGTCGCTGATTGCTTCATTGCGGTCGGCTGATAATGTCAACTGGACCACGGCAGTCACCCGCCATTATTTACTTAGCATAATCAAAAAAGTTTTCATTATGCCCACGTGCTTGTAATAATTGGAGCTGTACTAAACAACGGAATCAAAGCAATCAGTTTCCTTTTCTCCACAGTTACGCGTTCCATAATTCACGTGTAAAAAAACTAGCGGTTAAAATAAATTTACAGGAAATAGTTTTAAATATTATAGCGTTCCCTAAAGTGATGCATTAGAAATTCCCTGTTGCGAAGGAAGGAAAATAGTGCATGGAAAAAGTAGGCTGCAGTGTGTGTGTGCCGGCACGCATTCATTGCCAGCTAATTAGTTGGCGCGTATATGTACAGCCCGTCGTTCCCGCGTCCAGCTTCGTGGCATAATAACTGTTGTCTTCCGGCGGAGTGCCGCGTCCCTGTGCCGGGGCGTGTAAATGTGGGAAATGGCTGCTTTGTGGCGCGCGCACTGGAGGAAGTGGAGTGCAGTTGTTTCCGTTTAGACTTAAATACCCTATTGATGATGGTGACGGGGTGGTATCTGGTGCAATGTACGGCGTATACACTCGTTCATATACATACATACATGCCGTATATATATGTGATGGTGCCCTGGAGAATGCAGCGGGGGGATGATAGAATTAATGGCGTCGACTGTCACTAATCGCTGACAACGGCAATAAATGAGCAGTTATCCCGCGATTACGGCCGGGGAAATGTCTGCCGGGGTCAATGGGGAATAAAAGTACCGGCGCGCGCAAGCTGTTGTTCAGCATATAGCCCTACATCGTCACAGCACTGACAGACGCTAATAAAATCACGTTCTGTACAAAACACCCGCCATCCATGCCATTGTTTAACCCGGCTTTTTTTACCACCGGTTTTAATGCGTAATTGACACCCGGCTTTTTAATGTTGTACGGGGTAAAGTGTTTGGAAATCAAAATGTCATATAACGCTGTATAATGTGTATTCATGGGACTGTATGTGTTCGTGTATTGAATGACGCGGCTGAGATTTTGTGGATGGGGCGAAAAAGCGGGAATGAAATGAAAATATCCAAACCCCGGGTTACGGCTATAGCCGCGCGCGCAGTCAATTCAGGAAATGAAAGCTGCAGTGGCGCGCGCGTCAATCGATGCGCCGATGTGTGTGTATGTATGTGCTTCCCGTTTGGCCCCCGCGAATGTTTGCACGAGCAACGGCTGCTGTGCTTGGTAAGCAAACAATGCCGGGGCTACAGTGCCGCTGTTAGTCAATCGTAACCGTAATTGCTAACGGCGCTTAGATACACATTTTCACGACTATACAACCATCGGGGCTGACCAGTTTTATCCTCGTCCGGGCACCAAACTTTATGCCGCGGAAAACGCGATGATTGCCGCTGTTAAGCGCTGACAGCACCATCGCGCGCCGTGATACACGTTGTGGGTTTGTGATTCTTTGTGAGTAAAAACAAAAAAAATGTGGAAAATATTGTCCTGGATCGATACAATCAATATTTGCATAGAAGCCTTGATCAAACTGTCGGCTGCAGTAACTACATCTTTACATGCAAAAGAGTCAATTTTATTCACTCTCGCAGCGCTGCAGCAGGCATATACAGATACATCGATAAATATATTGTGCTGGAGTATTTTTCTTATATGCCCGGTATCGATCCGCTGCATAGCGTGGCCGTTTCACGTGTGCACGTGATCGCCTCGTCCACTAAAGCGATTATCGTACACCAGCCCCGGTTTCTCCTTATCCGCATCCGTAGTTCCGCCACCGCCGGTTCCTGCGCAGTCGGCAACGTCCGATCGTTTTTTATTGCGCGCCGAGTGCATCGTGCAGTTTCATCTGTACCCTTCTATAGATGTTACAGTGGTCAGTGTGTCAGTGATTTATCGATATGGGGCTTTTGTGTGGCGCGCGCGGGTGCCAACGATCGTGGCGGACAAAGTCGCTGGCCCGGGTCACGTCTTCCGGCACGCCAACTTCCTATTAAAGACGCCATTTACTGGGGCGCGTCATCGCCGGCTATATTTGGATCAACATTTCTCGGATAAGCCTGCCCGTTCGGAGAAGCGATCTTCTTTTGTGGTTTATGAAAGCGAATCTGCTGCAGTAACCTTTGCCATATTTTTTTACGAGAATGCGTCACAGCGAAAAAACCGTTTTTCCTTTAGTTTTGAGTTACTGCAAAAACTTACAGAGATACTCTGTTCAAAATAAAAACAATCAACGATCAGAAAAAATATCTTTAAATAACTTTAAAAATTATAGTGTTTTTACGAAAACAGATTGCTAAACCGATACGGCGACCAGGAAACAGCAATCGGAACTGATTCCGGTGGTAACCTCGATTCTCGACTGCCCCAGAAAATCTCGGTCAAAAATCGTGCCGATTATTAGCAGGGCGCATGTGAAGTGGGGATGAGCATGAACCCCTGATTACGCCGCGAACTTCACCACACTCTCTCCGCCATTAGCGCACAACGTGTTCCTCGGGCGCGTGTGCCCTTTCACACACATGCCACACTCTCGACGCAGCCAGCCATTGTCGAGTCCCCATCACTAATAGACTGAATGAACAATATGCTTTATAGCAATTAGATTACACCATGAAGCGCATTTGGCGCGCAAATCGAGTTGAGTCAATCAGTGCATGTGTATAGCCTGCATGAGAGAGAGAGGGAGACAGAGACGCGAGAGTGAGTGAGTGGATCATGTGTTCCATTTCATCGCTTACCCAATCTGCGCTGCCCCCGCCCCAGCCCCATGCTGGCCAAAGTGGGTAACAGTATCAGCGTGATTCTACTCAATGACTTATTAGTTAGCCTGCCACCTTTTTTCGGTGCGGGTGGCGCGTGTAATGACGCGCTGTGCCTGTACAGGAACTGCAGGAAAAAAGCGCCGGCTTTTTTAACCACTGGCTCATGTTATGTGCCGGGTAAATGCAGGAGCACGACATCATTAGCAAAGTGCTTGGGCACAGTTACATACACAGACTACACAGTCAAGAAAACGTGATAGTGCGTGCTGGAAAACCAAGCTGAATAAGTCCACACGAACACAATCGGTTATACAACTTATGCAAGTAAGATTTAGGCATTTGATGCGCATCTTCGAGATCGAGCGAACTGCTGCGGTCACCTTAGCAACGCCACAATGTGCAACCTGCTTACATGTGCTATGGATGTAAAAGCAGAAAACAGTTTAATGAGGAGCCTGGGAAATTTAAACGCACACGAAGGAGCGCATTAGTACGGATTAGACAACGTTCAACATCCGAGTTTTATTAGAAAGCTTGCATTTGAGAAAATTTCGAATCTTACATTGCGTAATACAGGACTATGTTAATTACATCATGTTTTATTTACGGCGACCATTATCTTGCGCTTCCTTAACGCGCGCGGTGAATAACCTTTCGTTGCCGCCGGGATTTTTTTCGCACACGCGCGATTCCGACGCAGGAATGTCCGGCGATCCGGTGCATTGTGTCGTCAGAACCATGGCGGCTGCCGGTGTTCCCATGCCGAGTCAGCTGTCGAGCTCCGGTGGCGTTTTGCACTGCTGCAGCAGCCAACATTTTTCCCATCCATGACGGGCCCGTGCGTGTGCTGTGCAATGTAGGCTGTCTGTGTTAGCTGATTGAACTGGACGTCTATCGGGAACTCTGTGCTGTGCCGGTGCCCAGTGTTTTGCCTCATCCACTCAAGTTTCCTTTTCCGCGACGACGCAATTCATACACTGCACCCACAACTTTGTACACTCTATATATGTGTGTACATGCGCGCGCGCATCCCTCTCCGAGTATAAACCTGGCACGATTTTTCTCATCCGCTGACAACTAATCAAACTCTCTCTCCGTTGTACATGTGTGTATATATATGATTGTATGTATATATCGTGTGGCCCGCGCGCTTTACACAGTACATACATATTTATCTATCTCCGTCGTCGTATTTTATGCCGCACCGCGTTTATCGCGTTATCCTCTTCATCATACAAACCGGCGGGGTTTTTCGGATGGGCTAATACGGCTGAGGTTTTGCCATGTCAGCCATTTGCGCTAATCATCGACATCAACAGTTTTTTCTCTTAATCGGCCTGGCGGCAGTATCGTGGCGGTTGTCGCGCATAATGACATGTGCAACGGCGCCGAATTGTTTCTCCGATTGACTGTCTCATATCTTGATTCACCGCGTTCGTCTGACACCGAAAACCGGAATTTCTAATCGCTTATACGGAATTACACCGTGAATTTTTTTCTTCGGGATTTTCTGCTACAAGGTAAACCGTAAATATTTTATCCCGGTTTCTTCCTGTCCGTGAAGCGAGGCAATTGGGAAGACGCAGCGATTGTACGAACTTGTGCGTAGCGTGCAGGCAACGCAGCTAGGGAAGAAAGCGATGAATATATTATGTTGACAGGTCCGTTTGTGCGGCGTACACACTCCAACACGCGCGTCCCTTCTCCGTCCCTTTAATTCCCGAGTGTTGCGTAATCCGGGCGAAGGTGCTTGTGGCTATAACGTTGGCGCTCTTGATTACACCGGGCCGCTTAATAAGCATTTAAGCCGGCACTTAACCGCGTGTTTGTCAGTGTGATTAGCCGGCAAGTGGTGATATGTGTTAAATGTAAATGACGACATACATCCTTCAGCGGTCAGCTGTGTTTTTTCAGTCAACATTCCCCGCTGGGATAAATGATGTTTAGAGTATGTTGGGCCTGCCCGAATGGCTCTTGTCACAGGCGGATATCAAGCTGTATCGCGTATAGGTAGAGAGCCAATATACAGAAACCGGTTATATTTGGATAATCCACCGATCGACGCGTCCGTAATGATAAAAAACTGCATAAACAGCCGATCAGGAAATTATCCACAAATAAGGGACAAGTGGGCAAAACTGCTACCCAGGGATCAGCAGCGTGGTTATAGTGCATGCTGCCGGGTGGGACTCCTTGACGATTATTCATTTCTGTTTGGTTGGTTAGGCCAGTTATGCTTGGCACTTGTCTTGTGTACAGCTGATTAAGAAATCGCTGATGCGACTGTGCGCCAGCGCGAGCGCTCTCGACAAAAGCCGGCTTCCCCTGCGCGCGCGCGCATCAGCGCCGGGGCTTAGTTGGAAATTTCACGCCTGACTTATCAGCTGGCTAATGCCAGGCAGCTGCCCCGGCGCTCTCCCTCCCTCCCGCGCTGGCCCAGGCAATCCCATTCCACCGCTCAACTGTATTGTCATCCCGCTAATTTTTCCGCATTACATCCTGCCCCAACAGACACACACAAAACATCCCAATCAAGCCCGTCCGAATGAAGCCGGTTACCGTGTTTTATGCTAACCGACTCAGCGAATAAATTGGCATAATATTTTCATGCAGTTATAAAGCGTAGAAAATTAAAATTGTACCAAATACTTGTATTTAATTTTGTCTTTTTTTAATGCTTTAAATTCTTGAATATATTTATAAGTAAAAGAAAATGCGAACTGCGGAGCTGATCAATCTAAAGCTACTGGGGAAAACGTTTAAGAGCACAGGTTATTCGTATTATTATTTTTAAGGCGGAACAGCATTTTGTTTTGAATGAGTTTTTAACCGGCAGAGATTATATGTTAATAAAGCAGTTAAATAATAAAATCTTCCCCCGGAAGCAGTTAATCGATTCATTCGATTGCGCGCGCCCGGACAACTTGCCGGGCGTTTTGTCCGCAGCAAATTGTTGAGCAGTTAAGACCCATTTGTACATGACCATGCGAAATTAGCAGTTTACAACGGAAATGATCTCGTGTGTATATTGTCGGGTAAATTTGCCACATTATTCCCGCCACACACACACACATACACATACACAGCTCCACACTACACAGAGAGAGCCAGCGCCGCACAGCTCCTCTCAGCAGCTGATGAATCAAGCCAAGTGGAAAAGTATTTTTGGGATTACTGTCGTCAGTGTATGGTTAGATGGTTATATGTCGCACTTAGGATGTGCAACATAACTGGCCTTCTCCGCTCTTCTGCCGCGCTTACTGTGTATAACCTTCTTCTTCCACGGCACGGCTTACATAACCGGGTATATATTGCATTGATTTCTCCTGCTTGATATGTTAGATATCTGGCCCCGCGTCCATTCGGCGGGTATTTAATGGCCGAACGCTGATTTTGGCACCGGCGCACTGAGAGTGAGTGTGTGTGTGTTGTTTCCATTGGTCAGATTAATTGCATTTGACTGTATAAGCTTTAGCTTGTTGACAAGAACGCCGCGCGCGGCCCAGCCGCTCAAATGGCGCGGGCCTGCTGCCACTGCCGGGGTGTGTGTTTATTTTGAGCGAGTCAACATTCACTGCTAATTAACTTTGCATTCCGCCGGCGCCGATGGATGGGGTGGGCTCGGTGTCGGTGACAATGTGGTCTGTATAGTGCAACGTACACAGTCAACGTTGTGTGGTGTGTTTACGCGACCACTCCGATGTGGAATGCATTAGTTATGTGGCTGTCAAACATTTTTCAACCTTGAATAACTTACTGGCTGGCGTTTTCGCAACTATATTGCCGATCCAATGAGGGAAAATTTGGAAGAAAATCCAAAAGAAAATTTTATTTTTGCACCTATTTTCTGGAAACAAATTTCTAGATTGAAATAGTGCGGTAAATAGATTTTTGCCTGGATCGAAAAACACTTTTTTCATCAAGAAGATAGAACCATTTTTCCCAAATAAATAAATTTTGTTTTGTGCAGCTTAGAGCCCTACCAGATTCTCAAAGCAAAAATTAATTAATCTTGCACGCTTTTCTTCGAATTCTGTAAAGGCCGCTTTAACGCGATGAAAATATGTCGGCTGCTAGTTACTGCTCAATTGTCACCCCTTTAATAGGGCTGTTAACGGTTAGACGTTTTTGAACGTTTGTCACTCCGAAGGCTAATCATATAGCGCTCAGAACAGTCTTTTGATGAGAACTAGACCCAGTTTATCTATAAGAAGCCTGTGACCATAAAACAATGTCGTCGATCCGGAAGCCGGGATAATTCCGTGCATGCAAAACTGTACTCGGGTCGTCGGCATGCGGCACTGCAATCGCGGTGGAAATAATAGCTTTCCAACTGGCCTACTTGTAGCCGGCACGATCTGGACATTAAGCCAATAGTTTTTGACTCATTTGCCTGGCGGAAACCGGAAGCACTGTTTGCAGTGTGTCGGGCATTGTTTGTGTTCAGTTCTCCTAAAGCTGACGCTGGTTACTTAACTGACAGCTTGGAGAGGACAGACCGCGTGACCTCGATCCCGTACGCTTTGCGCCCTTTCTCAATGGTGTTTTGCACGTGCTTCTCTGGATTTGATCGCATCCAACCGAAATTAGAATAATCTCGATTTTTAAAATTCCCCCTGGTAATTTATTTCTGTGAAACGAATTCTTAAAATTAGTACTTTCAAAACCAGGGATGTCATGAAAAAAAAATACCGATACATGTTTTTGTTTCAAATTTTGTTCCATGCATAATTGTCAGTTTTTTTTTGACAAGTACAGCTTTATTTAGTTGTTGATGCGGTTACGGTTAAGTGTTAACCAAAGTTTCGGTTCAAACATTTCCAAGAAATCGTGCGTATTGTCCGTTTCGCGTTCTTTAAGCTGATCCTCACGTTGGCCTACCACAATTCCCAGCGTTCATAGAAATCTGCGCGCGCGCTGCCGGGGTATAACGTTACTCAAACAAAGCGCTTGACTCGGGAATGCCTCTTCCTTCCCGTTCCGCGCGTTTGTGGTGGGGCCGCGTGCGCGCTCGCCTTTCCTCATCCGGGCGCAATTCCCCGCTGCCAGCACAAACACATTCGGCGTTGACATCCGTCATGCTCCGCTGGCCGGCACAATGCGGTGCGCAGTGTCCCGGGACCAGCTGGCGGCATTATTCCCGGCTGCTGTGATTGTGGACGGCGTAGAATGCCAGCGCGCCACACACACAGGGCACAGTGAATGGCCAGTTAGACAAACAAATGTAACATGATCACAATGGCACAAGTGCGCATCCGCTCGCCGGCTAAGATTCCCGTCGGCGTCTCGGGTTACGCGGGGATATGCTGGATGGCGGATTCAGTAGGTCCCGCGTGGAGTTCGTTGTTATTTGCGCACGGGCAGTTTGGACTGCGGAAGGGTTGTGTGGTGTGTGCTGGTATACAGAGGGAGATACGCGGGTAGCGCATCCAATAGTGCTGTGCAAATAGATGATGTGTTTAATGCCAGAATGTTGTAAATAAATTACGCTAGGCGAAAATGTGCAGGAGGGCTTGGCTGGGACGAAGCACAACGTACTAGTGGACAATACTCTGGAGTGTTCTTTGGCCGTGCCCATCGCAATAACTGAAATTTTTTTAACGATTTTAGTACTTATCTGTACGAAAAATATTTTTCACATCTCTCGGCAGACTGTAAAAACGACAGACTATTTTACAAATAAGTTTTTTACCAAATATTAACGTTTCACTCACCGATTCTTTAAAGAAATCAATAAGGTTTTTTATCACTGGTCGATTACGTAAATGCTCGGTGTTTTTTTAATAATATGACGATCCTCGCCCGGTTTCATATACTGACGTAAAGGTACAGACAGATAGCTATCCATAGCACTATAGTGCTATGGATATATTTTTCATAACATATTATTATGAAATTATTTGATTTGCGGTATAGCATTTGAAATCTTCCGTGTAACACGGTTGAAGATATGAAACAGAAAATGAACTGAGGTGGTAATTATGATAATGGGTAAAAAGCAGCCTTTAATGTAGATGGACGACTGTGGCATTCATAAGCCGTACGCGCGTAGTGGTCAGTTGACAAACTGGTCACTTGCACCAATCACAATTAATATCCACCGTTCTCTTTGCAGGCCATGGACCCCATTGCCGCGCATTGAGCCCCCCTTAATCGCCTGCCTTTGGACTGCGGAGATGCGATGCCGACCGGTTGCGCCGCGTAGCCCAGCATGCACCCACCACGCCGTGCTACCCACCCACTGCCCTTGGCCCCGCCCATGCCGACCAGCCCGATGAGTGTCCGTGCCGACCAGCCCGATGAGTGTGGCCGTGTACGCTCTGCTGACGCCGTCGCCGACGCTTTCCATGGATCCTTTGTCCGTGCACAGCACCGCCGGCCCCGCGGCGGTCGCGCCGACCAACCGCACCACGGTGGCCGGCGGGCCGCCGTACGGGCTGCCTGAGACCGTCGTCATCGCCGTCATCTGCGGCCTGCTGGCCTTTCTGACGGTCTTCGGCAATATCCTGGTGATGCTGTCGCTGCGCGTCGACAAACAACTGCGGACCATTACCAATTATTTTCTCCTGTCGTTGGCCTTTGCTGATCTGATGATCGGCCTGGTGTCCATGCCCATGTACACGCTGTACATCCTCACCGGTTCCTGGCCGTTGGGGGCCTTTGTGTGCGACACGTGGCTGGCGGTGGATTATCTGATGAGTAATGCGTCGGTGCTCAATTTGTTGATTATCAGTTTTGATCGCTACTTGTCCATTACCCGCCCGCTGACATACCGGGCGCGCCGGACGACGAAGCGGGCCTTTGGGATGATCGCGGCGGCCTGGCTCATCTCGCTGGTGCTATGGCCGCCCTGGATTTACGCCTGGCCGTATATTGAAGGTCGGTAAAAAAAGCAAAAAATGTTTAATAATCTATCACACGGTTTGATGTTGTTAGTTTATTACTGAAATATTATTGATATTTTGGGAAGTCCTGAAGAAATTTACCCGTAGGAAAAGAAATGGATAAATTAATACAGAGAAGCGACGATTGTTTTTTATAGAAATTGATTATAATATATAATATAACATACAATTGCTGTACTCGACTTTTTTGAGTTTATTTTATGGAAATTAATAGTCGAAACCGTTTGCGAAATTTTTACGTTATTGTATAATTAAGAGAGCGTTTTAAGTTGACCTTTGGCTATCTGTGGCGCGCTTTGTTTGTTTATATTATTGCTCCTGTTTATTTAATTTCAGTTCTTGCGTAAATTTCGACAGCTACAGTAGGAGTTTCCGTAAAGGCTCGAGAGAAAAAAGCGGTTACAATGAAGTAAACGAATTGCCCTTCAAAAAGAGGCCATTATACGGGAAGTTTATCATAAATCAGCGGTAGAGCAACGGGCGCGAGTGTGATGAGGAAGGCAAATGAAACGATCAGTGGAAGCCATTAATGGCTGGGCAGCGGAAATAGTGGGCTAGGATTTGTGACAAGTTGTAGAGGAGCTCATTAATCAACGCGACGATCTTGATATTTTTCTTTGCTTTGAAAAATCCCTCTTTTATTGATGATAGCAATTTGGCACACGCGTCTATTTAACATGAGCCATTCGCCAGTACAGATACAGTGGCAGTGAGTGCGGCAATCCACGCAACGGTTATTTACCGCATTCCGACTGGATCACTGCTGCCGCACCAATCGCCATCGATTAGTCAGGGTTTATTCTAAGAAGCCATCAAAACTTTATCGGCGCAATGATTATTAACATCATGCCGTAAATGTACAACCAAGCTGGCATCGCTAATAGAACAAATTTTGAATTATGATAAACGTCGAGCCTAATGCCTGAAAGGCAATAGGATCATTATTTTATTGCAGACGTAGTAAACATCTTTAACAAACATCAAGAAATAAATCATTGTAATATTATATGAAATTTTGTGATAACACCATTATATACATGCACGTATAAAGGTCACTTTATATGAAAGCCAAAGCCGAAAATTACTAAAAAATTATATATAAAAAATAATTGGTACTTGGTTCGTTACAGTATTTAGCGAGTTTCTCTTGGAAGTTATAGCATTTTGATTAAGACGACTGATTTCCGCTGCTTTTATTTACAGGCCGGCGAACGGTTGCAGCGGACCAATGCTACATTCAGTTCCTGGATACGAATCAGTATATCACAATGGTAACTGCGTGCCTTGCCTTCTACCTCCCGGTCACCGTCATGACCATCCTGTACGTCAAGATCTGGCGGGAGACGCTCAAACGCCAACGTGACCTCCACACCCTCACCGCCGACCCTAAACGGCTGCCCATGCAGATGAGCCAAAAGTCCACGTCCTCCAGCGACGACCCGGCCGTCAACCCGCCCCTGGGCACCGCCTCCGCCGTGCCCAACTCCACCAACAACTTCAGCCTGGAGCCGCCCACCTTCCGCTCCAGTAAGCGTTTATCCGAGATCCCCTCGGAGAGTGGCATGCCACCGCCGCCGGTGCGTCCGCTATGGAGGCGGATCCTCCATTGCTGCAAAATCGACCGGGAGGTGACCAACGACTACGCCGATGACGATAGCAGTGATGAAGGCGCAGATATGACGGTGCCGCAGACCTCCGAGACCACCTCCCGGACACTGTCGACCAACCGGATTACCAATAACGACCGGGAGCGCAACGGTCGCTTGGCGAACACCCCGCTGTTAGCCAAGGGACCGCGGACGCCCCAGCAGCTCCTGGCGGATCCCAACGTCGACTCGGAGACCTACACCATTCTGATCACCTTCCCGGAAGCCGCGGACCACCTCTCGCGTCCCCGGATCGAAGAGATCTCCTTCGACGAGGAGACGCCCTTCTCGGAGACCGCGCCCAGCCCCCGGCCGCGGGTCTCCAGCGCCGATACCCAGTCGCCGTCGTCCGGGCCCGGCTCCAAGCGGATGCCGCGGCCCTCCGTCTTCCAGGGGAACACGGTACTGCCACCCGGGGGCAAGGGGAAGGGACGGACGCCCCACTCGGCGGGGCGCAAGAAGGCCCGGGTGGACAAGAAGCAGGATAAGAAAGCGGCCAAGACCCTCAGTGCAATACTCTTTGCCTTCATCATCACCTGGACGCCCTACAACGTCCTGGTGCTGATCCGGACGTTTTTCCCCAAAGCCATACCGGATGTGTTTTTTGATACGAGTTATTATCTGTGCTACATTAACAGCACAATCAATCCAATCTGTTATGCCTTATGTAATGCCAATTTCCGCAAGACGTACATTAGGATTCTGTCGTGCCGCAAGAGCCTTAAGACCAAGTCGCATTATAATGTCAGGAAGACTTGAGCAGTGTCGCGCGGGTGAATTTTTGTTGTAATTATTTGATGTATTTCGCGGACGTTTTCGTGCCATTGAATTGAATAAAATTACGGCAGTTTTAAATGCAGCGCTTCGCATTTGTTTTGGGCAAAAATTACACTACGTTTTTAACAAAGATCGGTAGCACAAAGAAACGCACAGTGACCTTTTGTTAAACCAAGTTTTAGACATCACCACATGGCAGAAAAATGGTTACAGTTTGCTTCAGGATCAGAAAACGAACATAAAAAGAAAGTTAATTACATCAAGTAAACGTACTACTAAAACGCGGTGACCTTTACTAAACGACAGGCATACACGCAGCGCTAATTTATTAAAAAAATAAAATCAATATACATACTGGGTACAGAACCTGCGCATAACAGAAGCGCTTCAAAAGCCAGGAAGGACGGAAATACAAAAAGTAAGCATTATAAGCTGAAACAGGGCGTGTGTATTACCCTGTTGACAGTTGCCAGACAGGTCTGGATCCCCAAGGACAGTGCTGTTATTGCCAGCACTCTGATCGGTAGCGTCCAGCGGCACCGTCACAGCCCCAGTGGGAGGCACTGGCAGTGCTTGAGTGGTTGCAAATTGACCATTTTTCCACCGTGCTGCTTCCTCTTGCGCTTCCTTACGCCCCTCCACAAACGGAACAGTATTACACAGGTTACTGGTGCAGGCATCACAGCGGAATATCCTGTCGACGTCGGCTTGGGTCTTCGCTTCAAACTTGTCCGGCACCATCACCGTCGTGCAGTTCCGTCCCGGATTCTCGCAACCATATGTGCTGCTTTCTCGTGGATCACGCTCTAATGGTCCAAATGTGTCAGTCCACGGATTGTTCACTACAGGCACAATTCACGTTAGTATCGAATTCACGTTAGTATCGTTCACGTTAGTATCGTTCACGTTAGTAACGAATTTCTCAACAAGGATTTGGCGGATGGGGATAAACTTGAGAGGTTACTCGTACAAAATTTATGCAGTCATACGAGACGGTATATCTGGCTCGACCGAAACAAAATTATAAGAAAATTTAATCTACATAGATCGCCTGCATAAGTGTTTAGCATAACTTCTGCCAGCCAAAGCGTCATATGCAGCGTGACCTTTAAGAGAAGAGACCGGTAGCATAAGTACTTAACAGCTTTGCTGAATTTTTGAATTTGCCTCAGATTCAAATCTAGTAGCAGATCCTGCATCCATTGCATTCTGTTTAGAAGTCGAAAGCATCATTGAATCTCGTATTAGGACGTTTTAGAGCTAGCTCCTTTCGGAACTGTAAGTTTAACTGATTTACAGAAGACAGATGTAGTTGATTTGAGTTAAAAGAGTTTTGCTCTGTATATAATAATAATAAAGAATCTGGGTTGATTTAAGATACAAAACGTCCATAACTTTGTTGGAGTCATAGTCCACAAGCTGAAGCGATCTGTACGTTACAAAGTATGGTTGTGGCGCGTTTCAAGTGCCATAACCATACTACGATAGAAAATCGACGATCAACTTACCTATGCGATACTTGCGGAAACAACGAGGAACCGTATTCTGGGATTTGCACTCAAACTGCGTCCATGGCATAAAAGTCTGATCCGTTTTGTCAGCAAAATTGGGACAGGCATTTATATTTTGCTCCGACACTGCTTCTGGGCACTCCAAACCGCCATAACATGATTTGCACACGTAGCACGTCAGCCCATCGCCTAATACATACAGTGGCCTCGCGTTATCGCTAATTTAATGTTAAGGTTTCGTGGCGCTGTGACTCTCCGACAGATATTACTGTACTCACTAGTTTTAGCCATATACGCTGCCAAAAAGAATACCAGAAGGTTCCAAGTTAGCGACATCACGAGGCATTTTTCGCTGGAGGATGCGCTGCAGATCCACGAATCTTCTTGATCAAGAAAGCATAGACGGGATTATGAAGGTACTGAGCAATTTTAAATTCCAGCAGTTTGCGTAATATCGTTCTCAGGTTCATATCATCTGTGTGCTGCTTTTAGCATGGTCATGTAGGTAGACCTCGTGTATTTACACTGCTTTTTAGCTCTGACATACTACAGTTATAAAATATAAATTATTTCCAGTTGTTTATTTAAGGTGCCATAACGCGCTGCCACGTTTGGCGCTGTCGTACGTAGCAACAGCGCTGATCGACTTCCGGTTCTGGCGCTGGGCGCAGCGATAGTCGAGATCGGTGCATTACGTGATTAGGAACACGCGTTGAGGTTTGTTCAGCGTCATAACCGCTCCAAATGTTGTTCTCGGCTTTAGTCTTCCTCCTCGGCGTCATGTCCGCTGGGTCATTAGCGCCGCTGCCGAACATCGCTATCTTTATCGAGGGGAAAGATGAACCCTACACTGCCGCGGACGGGTACACCAAACTTGCTGCGCATCTCGCCCAGCATCACAATTTGCAAGTTCGCCGTTCTTATCTGGATAATCTCGATCCGGACGATCTGGAGCAGACCGTCCTGGTGCTTGTTGCGGGCCCACGGCGTCCTTTCACCGCTTCTGAGTTTCAGTGCTTGAAGACCTTTATTACGTTAGGTATCAACGTTCTATTCTTGGCTGGCGAAGGTGGTCAGCACGATCTGAAGACCAACCTTAATTCCTTGCTGTCAGATTACGGTGTGACCTTTGCACGGGACTCCGTGGTCCGCAGCTCACCACGCCAGTATCTCCATCCCAAAGAAGCATTAATCCACGACGGAGTTATTGAGAGTTCGCCGCTGTGTGCGAAGGATCTGCAATTTGTATATCCGTTTGGATGCAGCTTGGAGATTGGGAAGCCTGCGATCCCGGTTTTGACATCAGGGAAATGCTGTTTTCCTCCCGATCGAGGATTGTGCGCGCTGTCCCAGTTGGGGGAATCGCACGGAAAGGTCGCGTGCTTTGGATCGCTGTACGCCTTCCACGATCAGTACATCGAGAAAGAAGAGAACGCGCAACTTTTGAATTCTCTGTTAAATACAATTCTCACCACGAATGAGGTGTTCCACGAAAAAATCTCAACCTTCCCTGATTTTGAAGACATTCCCGCCAGACCACAACGGCAGTTTGTTATTCCCAAGGCGGTGCGAGCCGAACCGTTGTTCGATGAAGCTTTTGAACTCCCGGAGAAAACGATTCGCCAGCTTATGGAAGACCAGGTGGAAAATGAATTTGGGAAGAATTTCCGATTGGAAGCCGCGTTGATCGAAGCGGGCCAACGGCTGGGGATATCTTGGGATGTGAACAGTGTGCGAATGCCCCCGAAAATTAAAGGTTACCTGCCCAAGATGGTGTACCCGACGATGCCACCGGAGGTGCGGTTAGCGGGAGCACCCACTCTTGAACTGTTTGATTTAGACCAAGAGCTATTCGGCGATAAGGCCACACTGGAGAAACTCTTCAAAGATGGTAAGCAACGTTGGATTAGAATCTTGTGCGGAATCGACACCACAGATTAATATCACAGCTTTCTCCACAGTTCTAAACGATGCCACGTTGAAAATATATTTGTGGCACAAGCTCGTACAAATTTGTAACGAGAGATCTGTTCTAGCCAGAATTGTTTCTTCTAGGTGGCAGTCGTGAGGAAATTGTACAGAAAGCTGGAAAACTATTTGGACTGGGTCAGGAAGGAGTGCGGCCTAATAGCAAAGACATTCTTCGCCGCATAGTGGATACCGTCCTTCGAGGACGCACAAGCCCGGGAAGAGACGATCTCCATTTCGTAAGTCATGGACCCGTTATATGAGGAGTTTCGGCTTTTATAGTTGTCATTGTCGTCTGCAGAATCCGAAGCCTTGCTCACAAAACCGACCGCGAAGCTCTTTAAGCAGCTGTAGCGCCAGGGGCGACATACGGCGCGAAACCACTCCCCCCATCAGCTTGGAAAGAATTGTGACGCTTATGGCACCCAGTCATAGCGAAAATCTACCACTAACTGATGAACAGATTCTGCATGACTGTTTAGCGAGACGACGCTGCGGATCACCAAATAAACCAAAAAACATATTCTTGTAAACCAAATTGCTCGATTCGTACTACGGAATAATCGCCGAGACTTTAGCCATCGACGGCCCACTGTAAACGCATCTTGTTGCTCAAAAGTCAAAACCACAATGAACTTAAAAAGTATAGCGGTTTGAGAAAGTAAACAGAAGTAAAAAAGGAACGAACGAACGACCGAACGAACGAACTATTCAAAAATAACGACAACAAGCTATAAAAATAAATATCTGAAGATCCAGAAACGACGAATAGGCTCATGCATGCAGTTCAACCAAAGGTCGCACATATAGTGATAAAAAGACAGTAACACTATCGAAAAAGCTGCACTGGTTGTTTTATGAAGACTCTTGTTAGATTGATGCATATTGCACAATCTTGTCACCTTTTTACACCCGGGATGATCCCACTTTGAGCATGACGCGTGCTCGCATCCATTTGCGACGGCGTAGTTCCCGGCGGCTGCGCAGGACACGGCACAAGCGCTTAACAGGATACCACTTACGACGGGCACGCTTCGCTGGGCGGATTGGCTTCTTGACAGGGACAATTGGCGCTTCCACGACAGTTTCAACGTTATCCAAAACGGGCATTCTATAAAGGCGCAGTTAGCTAAATTGCGCTTGCGAATTCCACATGCACAGTGCAAAAATTATATTTCTAAAGGTAGGTGCAACGAAAATTGCTTAAAAGTTTCGGATTTTTGTATCGGTAAATACGCCAAAAGAAAACTGAAATCGCAATTCATCGGTAACAAAATTGTAGAGGATTTGGTTGTGTAATCAAATCAAAATTTGTTGGGTTTACCGTTTACCGTACATCAGCGTTCACTGACTTACACATAGAGTATTACTGACAATTTACTGTTATTTAACTGCGTATGCTACGTTCAGGGAGACATTTAGTAGACACGCTTGCAGTATAAAAAAGCTTGCGTAATATAAAACAAATGCGCACGTACTCATCATCCTCCCCGTGCTCTTCAGCCCATGCGCTCATTGCCTGCAGATGCGGATAATCGCACACAAGCAGCGAACGTCGTACCGCGTCCGACGCGATGCCACACATGAAAATACCCATGGCGATCTCCTGGTGCACCTGCTTGGAGCACGTGGCATCCTGCACGCGCTTCAGCACCCGATTAGCGAAATCCTCCAATGTCTCCGTGGGCGCTTGCTTCATATTAAGCGTATCCTGCCACCAGGGGCCGCAGAATGCGAAGGCTTTATGCATATTATTGATCATATGAAATCGCGGATTCATTCGCACTATTCCGCGACTCTGTGCAGCATAAAATTGCAAACACACCTTTCGAAGCACGCTGTGACGGATGCACGGCTCCCCGCTGATGGAACCTGTATGTTGTCCGTAGCAACGTGGAATGATCACCGGCAGCCGGCAGGCATAGCGCGGTGATTACCGTACACTGAAGCACGATTAATACGGAAAGATCATACGGAAAGATCAGATCTGGAGAGTTGCATACTGGCGCGTTCGATTGAGTAATAACACTGCGATTAGCAATATGGTGAGCACCAGACCATGTCAGATCTACATCCAGGCCATGTTGCCGCGACACTAACACTCTTTTCGGGGAATTTGAAAAAATTCGTTAAACGTGATTCTCGTTCCAAAGGAAAGTGGGTGTCAATTACGTGGAAATTAGATTCTGATGGATTAGTCGAGGAGGTCCCAGCCGTTTGTTTCTCCAGTTTTTCTCGCCGCTGCAAAAGTGTTTTCGTACGTATAAGCTGCATTCACCAATAACGTTTTGACGTTATGTTTCGCTTATTTGATTTCTTTTTCCTAGTGTATACAAATTATTTATGCTATTATACATTTAGTGAAATTTTGCAGTGCGCGCGTCCAACGACCAAATCGGTTCTTGATCTTGAACACTTTTATCTGGAGAAACCGAGCAAGCGCGCAGCTCCCTTTACGGCCCGTGATCTGCGTTTGGGTATCACGTTGAAGCGTAAGGAGAACGAGGATGACAGTCTGCACTACCTGGCTCCGACGAAAGAGCGCCGCGATGACCTTTTGGATCAGCTCTCTGTCTTCTGCGTTAAAGTGCCGAAGAAGAGTAAGATGTCGCTTGACTCGCATCAGGAGACGGTGGAGATTGGCAAGGGCGGTTTCGGCGTCGTGTAAGTGCCCAGATTCTTCATTTTTCAGTTATTAAAAATGCTCTGCAACTTTCGTTATTAGCTCCATAATTTTTCCTGAAGCATGTGCGGACACGTTGACAGCTAGCTTTGTAAATGGCCGATTTGCAACTTATTTTGCAAGCAATTATTTTATACGTTTAACAAAGCAACTCGAATGGTGATTGCATCTGTAGCAGTTGTCTGCACCTAAGTAATTCTGTATCATACTTAATGTACCGTTTATGCGAAGTATGTGTCTGTTTCGTACATGAGTTTACATAGAATGTCCAAGTTAGGACATTAGTGGTTCCATAGGAATGAACCCATAGACCAGGACACAAGTGGTTCAATTGGTTCTGAACCCATGGAACCAAGCAAAGAAAACGCTGACGTTAAACAGATTCACGTCAACCAATGGAACCTAATGGAACCACCATGGAACCACAAGTGAACCAAGTCCGCTCTTACTTGCCGACATGCCTGCACACTACCTCTTATCCCGGAACCAATGGAACCAATGGAACCTAATGGAACCACCATGGAACCACAAGTGAACCAAGTCCGCTCTTACTTGCGGACATGCCTGCACACTAATTTCTGTATCCCGTGAACCAATGGAACCAATGGAACCTAATGGAATTACCATGGAACCACAAGTGAACCAAGTCCGCTCTTACTTGCCGACATGCTTGCACACTACCTCTGTACCCAGTGAACCAATGGAACCAATGGAACCTAATGGAACCACCATGGAACCACAAGTGAACCAAGTCCGCTCTTACTTGCCGACATGCTTGCACACTACCTCTGTACCCAGTGAACCAATGGAACCAATGGAACCTAATGGAACCACCATGGAACCACAAGTGAACCAAGTCCGCTCTTACTTGCGGACATGCCTGCACACTAATTTCTGTATCCCGTGAACCAATGGAACCAATGGAACCTAATGGAATTACCATGGAACCACAAGTGAACCAAGTCCTCTTACTTGCCGACATGCCTGCACACTACCTCTGTATCCCGTGAACCAATGGAACCAATGGAACCTAATGGAACCACCATGGAACCACAAGTGAACCAAGTCCGCTCTTACTTGCCGACATGCCTGCACACTACCTCTTATCCCGGAACCAATGGAACCAATGGAACCTAATGGAACCGCCATGGAACCACAAGTGAACCAAGTCCGCTCTTACTTGCCGACATGCCTGCACACTACCTCTGTATCCCGGAACCAATGGAACCAATGGAACCTAATGGAACCGGCAGGGAACCACAAGTGAACCATACTTGCCGACATGCCTGCACACTACGTGAACCAATGGAACCAGCTTGGAAACACAGGTGTAGTTTTACTTGCCGACATGCAATCGTACAAAAATATCTTTTCCTTGTAAATGCGACGGGCATTATTGAATCCAGCGGACGAGTTGCGCAGTCCCATGCAGTGCTTTGGGCATCCACGTTAAATGCCCGTGATTATTTTGGAGCAGCACAAATAGATACCGCATTGTTTGAATCATTATTTGGAAGTTAGAAACGCGAAATCCTGATTATCTAATTTTGCATTTCCGCTCATCCCGATCAAAAGCGACGGAAATGCAAGCGCGTAAAGTGAGAAAATTCGGACCTCATGCGGCGACAAAGTTGACAATTCAACTGTTAGAGTTTCCAACGAAAACAACCCAACGAAACAACCCAACGAAAACATCTTTCCGCGTCTAAAATTTTACTGCACGCTTGTAGCCAGCATCAAGGTTGACGGGTTGATGGTTGACGTTTTATGAAGGTCATCGACCTCTCTCTACAGGTCATCAACCTTCCCACTATCCTTTCCCTAAAGGTCATCTGCCTTTCTGCCTAACGTCGTCAACATTTTTTCATGATCATGAATCTTTCTGCTGCTATCTTCAACCTTTCTCGAAAGGCTCTCATGCTTCTGTACAGCAAAGGTCTCAGAGACACAGGCCGGGGCACGCAATAAGCGGGCAAAAACACAGCCGTTCTTTGCGATTGCGTACTTTGTTGGGCTAGTTATTTCGAAAATTTATTCGGCTAGTTATTATTTGAGAATTTATTTGGCTAGCTGCTCCTGCCAGCCAGCAGTCGGCCGCAAGTTCACAACCCATACTGGCGCTTTCAGCATCGGCAGGGCACTATAGCAGATCACACACAAACGTACGTGTAAAGTGCGAGCGTAAGGTGATTGTGGACACCGTGCAAACAAGTATTATAGTGCCAAACATAAGGAAAAAAACATGATGGGGAGTTGAGCTGTAAGGCTGGCAGGACATCAACCTTTCACCAAAGGTCATCAACCTTTCTGTAAAGGTCTTCCACCTTTCCGCCAGTGGCATTCACTGATTTACCTCGAAGTCATTATGTGTATCTACGTTAATTTTGCGGAGGCAAATAGTTTAGTTTTTGTTTATTACAAGACGTCTGTGTGTTCGATTGCGTAAGGCCTGTTACTGGAACGTAACGCGCGGAAAGGGCAGCAAGACCCGCGAGTTGTCCCGCAGAAAGTTAAGAATGGAGAAAGATTTCTCCGTGGATGTGAAAAATAGTACAAAGTACTCCGTTTTACGATTAATCGGTGGCAAGTTTTCTCATTTGTATCTCAAAATTTCATTTAAAAAACGACCAAAACAGACTTTGCCTTGTTTAACGACCAAATCGCAAAAGGCGTGCGGATGCATCCACCTTTCTGCCAAAGCGGTGGCGGCATCCATTTATTAAGCTTTTGCGCAATTGCAAACATTTCACAGTTTTTACAATGGGTATCGCCTTATCAGTTAAACCGCTTACAGTACAGATACTTATGATCAAACAGGTAGCAACGAACATCGTAGACATATTACTTAACCGAGTGGCGAAATATTTTTTCGCGCGATGAATTACAGTGAGCACAATAAGATCAATGCTCGTCGCCGGCAGAAAGGTTTGATGACCTTTACAGAAAGGCTGATGACCTTAAGGGAAAGGTTGATGACCTGTAGGGAAAGATTGGTTACCTGCCAGTTTTGTAGCCCAGCACACCCAATGTTTTTTACCGTATCCTTGATTTGCCATTGCCGATTTATGTGCAATCTTCTTGCGTGAGAAGCTTTGGCCGAAAGAAGCCATATCCATCGCTTAACAACGGCCCTTACCAATTTATATAAGACCGCTCTTAATGTGGCAGTGTACCGAGTATTTAACGGAAGCGCGCAACTGACTTGTGGGTTCTTTCAGATTTCCTTTTTCCTATCGCACTACGTGATACAACAGCTTTCAAGAAACGAACAGATTTGCAAAATGTTTTTTGTGTTTAAAAATTTCATATCTGGTGAAATTTAAATGCATACTCGTATGCATTAAGAGGAGCCTTTCAAGTCGAGCGCTATATATAGAATACGTGTTTGTAATTTGTGCGATATCCATAAATCACAATCACCAGACACTCACACTTAACCATAATGACGTACCGTAATTATCGAATTATAAGCTCCCCCCGAAATATAGCCCATGGGCTTAATTAAATGCTATATAGCCCATGTTAGCGAACGCCAAAAAAGTTAGTTTGAAAAATTGAAGCCCCCTCCGAAATACAAGCCCATGCCCGTAATTGGAGCCCACCACGTGAGGCGTTTGAAATATTTGGGGCTCTCATTCGATAATTACGATATGTTTGTGTTTGATCTGCGATCGTGCCCTGCCGATGCTGCAAACGGCACTGGCAGTATGTCTTACGGTTGGCAGCCTGTAACAACTAGGCGAAATTTCCGAAACAAAATGCCGAATAAAGCAACCGCAAAGTGCGGCCGTGTTTTTGCCCCTTTATGGCGTGCCCTGTCCTGTGTCTCTGAGACCTTTACTGTACAGAAAACATGAGAGCCTTAAAGCTTGAAGATCTTCGGCAGAATGATTGAAGATCATTAAACAAATGTTGACGACGTTCGGCAAAACGGCTGATGGAAAGGTTAATGACCTTTAGGAAAAGACCGAAAGGTTGGTGAAAAGGTTGATGACCTTTAGAAAAAGGCTGATGTCCTTCATTGAACGTCAACCTTCCTGCCGGCTACACACGCGTGCCTCGGACAAATTTTGTGTGCATAGTTCTGCATAGTGCAAAAATGTTGTTCGAGAAAATTCTCGATTTATGCTGTATAAAGTCTCTGCAGTATTCGATCGCTGGTATTTGCATAAAATTTGTTTAAGTGCAGGATTAAAGTAGTGTTAGACAGTAGACTAAACTATTGATAATTTGTGAGACAAATAATCGATCAGGGAGCTGCCTCTAGGGATGCTGAAGAGCAAGATAAAAACTAAGACACTGATTAACTAGATCCTCGTTGAGTCCGGTGGTTGCCTGAAGTGATCAAAACGGAGCTGAACGGGTTCGCGGTTTCCTTGGCTAATAGCCAAATGAGTCCCGCATCAGATAATTATGAAAAAAAAAACACCATGTATGCTTAGGACTTTATCTAAAGATGAGCAGTTCAAACACACGTAGCCGGACACCGTCCGACTGCGATCTTTGAAAAATTCTGTTCCTGATTTGGTACAAATGAGTGTGCTACTGTTTTAAGCCTGGAGTGTACAAATCTGCATGCAAGGTAAAAATGTGCATGCGCAATCACAAAATCGTACTAACTTTGCTCTTCTTAATGATCATGGTTCAGTGGTCATCGAAGTCACCACTGGTTACTCACGGCCGAAAAAATTAGAAAAATTAACTCATTGGGCAGTAGCGCAAAAACTAAATAGTAAGTACCAGCGGTGTCAGTAAAAGTGGCTTGCTGCGTCTCTCCAGCACGAATTCAACTGTGCAGAAAATGTGTAACAATGAAATTTAAATGCTGAGAAATACATTCTTATTGCCATATCGGCATTTGATGCGAACATGACCGGCACGCAAATTGCGGGCGCCTTGGAACTTTTTTTACGGCCCGGTGTTTCATACTTTTGTTGTCTGTTGGGTACGGATTTTGAATGCCAAAGCGTCTACATTGCAGAAATGAACTTGCAATGACCATTACCAGCCAAGAGAGCACATAGGAAAACGTCATTCTCGTAAATATTATCTTTTCTTACGTTATCAAAACAAATACCAAATATTACGACAAAACTCAATTTACCTAGCTCGCCAACTACAAAATACGCAAAACAATGACGACACTTGCAGTTATTATAAAAAAAGCAACTTCGCCAAATTCACGGCGTACAGAGGTAACGTGCAAGCTCGTCTACCAATAAGAGCGGACTTGGTTCACTTGTGGTTCCATGGTGGTTCCATTAGGTTCCATTGGTTCCATTGGTTCACGGAATACAGAGGTAGTGTGCAGGCATGTCGGCAAGTAAGAGCGGACTTGGTTCACTTGTGGTTCCATGGTGGTTCCATTAGGTTCCATTGGTTCCATTGGTTAACGGGATACAGAGGTAGTGTGCAGGCATGTCGGCAAGTAAGAGCGGACTTGGTTCACTTGTGGTTCCATGGTGGTTCCATTAGGTTCCATTGGTTCCATTGGTTCACGGAATACAGAGGTAGTGTGCAGGCATGTCGGCAAGTAAGAGCGGACTTGGTTCACTTGTGGTTCCATGGTGGTTCCATTGGTTCCATTGGTTCACGGAATACAGAGGTAGTGTGCAGGCATGTCGGCAAGTAAGAGCGGACTTGGTTCACTTGTGGTTCCATGGTGGTTCCATTAGGTTCCATTGGTTCCATTGGTTAACGGGATACAGAGGTAGTGTGCAGGCATGTCGGCAAGTAAGAGCGGACTTGGTTCACTTGTGGTTCCATGGTGGTTCCATTAGGTTCCATTGGTTCCATTGGTTCACTGGGTACAGAGGTAGTGTGCAAGCATGTCGGCAAGTAAGAGCGGACTTGGTTCACTTGTGGTTCCATGGTAATTCCATTAGGTTCCATTGGTTCCATTGGTTCACGGGATACAGAAATTAGTGTGCAGGCATGTCCGCAAGTAAGAGCGGACTTGGTTCACTTGTGGTTCCATGGTGGTTCCATTAGGTTCCATTGGTTCCATTGGTTCACGGGGTACAGGGGTAGTGTGCAAGCATGTCGGCAAGTAAGAGGACTTGGTTCACTTGTGGTTCCATGGTAATTCCATTAGGTTCCATTGGTTCCATTGGTTCACGGGATACAGAAATTAGTGTGCAGGCATGTCCGCAAGTAAGAGCGGACTTGGTTCACTTGTGGTTCCATGGTGGTTCCATTAGGTTCCATTGGTTCCATTGGTTCACGGGATACAGAGGTAGTGTGCAGGCATGTCGGCAAGTAAGAGGACTTGGTTCACTTGTGGTTCCATGGTAATTCCATTAGGTTCCATTGGTTCCATTGGTTCACGGGATACAGAAATTAGTGTGCAGGCATGTCCGCAAGTAAGAGCGGACTTGGTTCACTTGTGGTTCCATGGTGGTTCCATTAGGTTCCATTGGTTCCATTGGTTCACGGGGTACAGGGGTAGTGTGCAAGCATGTCGGCAAGTAAGAGGACTTGGTTCACTTGTGGTTCCTTGGTGGTGCCATGTGGTTCAGAACCAATCCACTAATGTCCTAACTTGGACATTCTCTCTGAGTTTATGGCGCAAAGCTCGGAGCACGCAAACGGTTCTCTGAAAGTGAGAGCTTCATTTGAATAGTACACTGCGTGCTACCCATGTGCGAACATGCGTACACTTTGCATGCATCCTACGAAACCGCGCCATCACAAAGAATGTCCTTTAAATTGGCTGTATGTCTGCAGTTATCGATGGAAACAACCGGATAGTGGTATCGTTACCGCCCTTAAGGTCCAAGATGCGCCGGGCGAGGATCTGGAATGGGAGGCCACCGTGCTGCAGGCACTGCAGACGGTGGAAGGCTTTCCCAAACTACACCAGTGTAGTACAGGCGAATTGGGCTGGCTGGCCAATAAGCGGTACATGGTGACCGAGTATATCGGACCCGATTTGGAAACCTTAGTGGAAGCCAACGGGCCCGTGGATAAGGTCACCCTCAGCCGAATTGCGGCTAAGCTACTGGACAGTCTGGCGGCCATGCATGATCTCGGCTACATACATCATGATCTCAAGCCTGCAAACGTAAGGTTGGCCTAACGTTGCTCGTGTTAAATAATTAGTATCTTATTCTATTTGCTAGACGAATTCTGCAGATGGTAGACGGTTTATTAACGCGGTGTATTCCGCTTTTTTTCCGCACTAGAAATCTTCTCGCTATTCGTATGTAACGCCGCAGCACTAACTGCATTATCCGATTCTTTGCTCCTTGAACAGCGACGGCTAAAATAAGTCGGTTATTGCATTTCAAGCGTTTGCGATGCGAACATTGGATTATTTTTACTGTAATTTATTCGGGAATAACGTAGAATAACATTTGTGGTACCCCTGCACTTGTATGAAATAACTTTCCCCGCTAGCGTGACTGGTGGTTCTTTTGCGAAATCCTACGGCAAAACAAACGTTCATTATATAACTGATTACGACGCTTCTTCCGCTAAAATATAGCATATCTAATACTAAAATATGGCGTACTAAATGCGAAGAAAAGAAAGATTGAAGCAAATTCCAAAGTTGCAGTCTTCTTTGTTTTTTATTTTGGATTTAATGATAATCCCTAAAAGCATTCTCTTTGTTCTTGTTGGGTGAAGAAATTCTTGACTCCGAATCCTTTGACTAAACCTCTTTTTGCGATTAAAATTGCTTTTGAAATCTGCAGTATATAACAATATTTTGTATACCTTTTTTCCTTATGCTTGTTGCCGTTGATGTTAATACCGTTTTTGTGCTAGTCAGCCAGCGATTGCTGCTTATGAAGTTTTTTATGCTCTTTCAGATTTGTGTGCGAGAAGAAAGCAGCGAACCTGTGATAATCGATCTCGGCCTCAGCATCAGATTCAACAAAGACTGGAACTTCATTAAGCAGCGCGACTCCTTCGACGGCACCTTCATGTACACTTCCATCCGCAACCACCTCCGCCAACCGCAGAGCTCTCGCGACGACGTGGAATCCCTGCTCTACACACTGATGACCATTTCCGCCGACAGCATCCCTTGGTACGAACCACGGCCCCGCGATAGCGATAAGCCGGCCATTGAGCGCCGGGAACGCCGCATTCGGGATAAGAAGATTCGCCTGCCTTTCCACGACGCCACACCCCGCTGCCTCTCCTACGCTCTGGTTACCGCGTTTGAGACGACGTATAATGAGAAACCATTGATCGAAAACATCAAGGATGCGTTAGCCAGTGAGTGGAATCCGGTGGTGCCGTTTCGCTATCATCCCGGTCAGCCGAAACTCCAGTGGTCAATTGAGGCCATCGATCGGAATCGCCGGACGATGAATCCGATAAGAGAAGCGGTGGAGATGCTGCGGAAGACGAAGCGGCATAGCGACGCGTTGAAAGGATATTCCGAAGAGGAACTAGAGAATCTCTGTGTTTCACAGGAACCGAACAAAGATCTTCAGAAGGATCTGGCGGAAGCATCACACAGCCGGCATAAGCTGGCAAAGGTCATGCTAACCGTACTATGGATGCAGCAGCATTTCCTTCAGCGGAAGATCGGTAAGAAGTTAAAGCGGATCCCTTCGATATTGTCGTCGCATGCGTCGACTACCACCGAATCGGGGCCGGAACATCGCAGTGTGGATGAAGCCGGCGATCACGAATCGGAGCAAAAGAAACCCGATATCTCCACCACATCTGTAGCCATTGAAACTGAGCAGACGAAAGTGGCATTTTTGAGGTGTTTGTTATCTGCTATCCAACTACCACCCCACCCGCCGTTTCCCCAGTTCGGCGAAGAAGTCTGCAAATCTGCCAGTTTCAGTTTATTGGCTGAGCACCAGCAAATGAAGACCCAGCTACGCGCTGTTGTATTGGATTTGTGGCAGACCATCGAAGCGTACATTTCAGTGATAGCCGGGATCTGTCACGAGAAATCCCGACATGTGGCCCCGGAGTTCCTCCGCCATCTCCAGGACCTATCCCAGTTTGTACTGAATGTCAGCGCCCCGCAAAAGGTTTTCAAAAAGATTGAATACGTCAAGAAGTTGTTGGCCGGGAAGCAGAAGGAGCTGGATACAGCCAAACAGCGTCTGTACTGGGATTGTGACGGGAATCGCTTCTGTGATCCGGAAGCGCGCCGTGGACCGGAAGGGCTCCTTCTAAGCAAGGTCATGATCTATTTCGCCGATCTGATGCGGATCTGCGAGGATTTCGTCCTATCGATATCCAGTGAGGAATATCTGCTGGTTGTGGAAAAGGTCATGGCGTTCTTTGATGGCATTTGCCCATACACGCCGTTAGCCATCAGTGCTAAAGCGGATAATGTTTCCAAGAAGCCAGACGCATTGTCGACCCTGACTAAAGATTTACTGGATGGAATGGAAGAGTCGTACGCAAAAGTCTTCGGACTGCGGATGCCGCGAGTCTTCCTGCGGATATACAAACGGTATATGAAAGATTTGACCAGCTCGCGGTCGGCGTCCGTGTCGCATATGGATGAGATTTACGCCACGCTGATGAAGATGAATCGGTTGTTGTTTGAGCTGCGGAAGTTTGAATTGGTTATGGAACAGATACGCGGTCAGACGGTGAAGGGGGAGAAGAAGACAGCGCTGCAGAAAGCCGTGGCGGATTATTTTTACTGGCCGTGTTATCGCTATGTAATTATGGAGATTGGGTTGTTTTTCTATAAGATGGACTGTGATCATTTGCAGCAGGTGCTCATTCCCACACTGGGCACGGTTGTTTGATTTTTTTATGGATTAACTAGTTAGTTCTCTATTTTTGTAGTGCAGGCGTGGTTAAGTATCGTAATTATTAAGTACAGAATTGTGTGAATAAATTCGAAAAAAGAAATAAGCTCATGTTGCCGGTTGTCATCCGTTTTTACTGTTTCGATATGCGCCGCTTGTGCAGATCTTCCACGAAAAGTCGAAAACTACCAGTTTCGCTTTTGTGATAACAATCTTCCAAACAGTTAGGTCAACGTTATCAAAAAGCAGCTAAATAAAGTTACTAAGAAACTGCTAAAGAATTCACATTTTGATGGCTAAGTTGTCAAAAGACACGCGCCGGTGGGGCTTAAATCTCGGCACAGGATGCGGCTTTTTCGACACTTCCAAGCTGAGCTCACGCGCTACCTCGTCCATCTTGGACCACAACGGGGGAAAGATGAACTTGGAATAATCGTCATGGGGACTCGGCTGCAGATTAATCGACAGCTGGGTGTGCATGATTTGCTTGAGGCGCTGATTCCGCTCTCGCAAGAGCCGGGTTTGCGTGGCTAATTTCAATTTGTTGTCCGAAATTTGTCTGCATAAACATCAGAAAGCTGAATATTCACACATGCCATTTTAAAAGTCACGTGCTTTTTATGTGCCATGAAGTCACTTACGCTTCCTTGCGAATTCCATACATCAGCTGCTCCCATTCGATGGCCTTCTTCTCCAAATCGAATGCCGTTAAGTACTGCGCCAGGTATTCTTTATCGGCTGATGGATCGCGACCTTTACCTTTCGCCTTCACAAGATTATAATCTACTGCATGGACTCTGCAGTAGTAAAAACGCTGTGTTATTACCGACCGAATTAAAAGTACGTGTAGAATCAAAATGAAAACGAAAGCTGAAATTTGTTAAAGGAAGCGATGCAGCTGCAGATACATACACTTTGGTTTCCTTGTAATCCATGAACGCTGCCAGTGCCACGAAGACATCATTGAACTCGATCCTGGCGTCGCGTAATTCTTCTTCGGTTACGTTCCTGAGCATGTCCTGCACTTCGGGGCCATTGACATCCACAACTTCGTTGCGGGCCTGCTTGGCATTTGCGTACCGGCTGAAGCGCAGAAAGAACATGGCCAACTCACACAGATCTTCATAATGCAAATCCTTGAACTCGTTAAGGAAAGCTTCCACCTGTAGCCACAAGACCATAATATGTATCGTCCATCTGCTTAATTAGCACGCGTATATTACATGTGCAAAATTTCGATTACAAAAGATTACTAATATTACCGTAAGCAATTTGTAAACTCATACTATTTTACTGACAAGATATTAAATATTTCTTAATGGATGAGACTTATGGCATTCAAGAGTGCTAGTTAGTTGAGAAAAACTACTTTAAAGATACTGTATGCGGTTACGAAACGCTTGAAGGTTACAACCACATTTGTAAAAACAACCGTCACGAATAAGAGTAACACTAGTCATACCTGGAAACAAAATTTGTCCTGCCAGTGCAGCTGATTCATCACGTCCATCGTGTAGTCCTCGTTGAAGAAATCCAGATGGTTAAGAATCCAGCGCAATACCGGGCCGAGGATATGTGACGGCAATGCCACCGCTGCTTTCTGCACACTGCTCATCTTATTCTGCAGGTTGGTGCCAGGAGAGTGGAACCGGCGCACCAGCGACAGCGACCGGAACATGCTGAGCCGTTTGCTTTTGGTATTGAGAATGTTCCAGCATTGCTTATGCAACTGATAGACATACGCCGTTTCATGGGAGATCATGGGCTCGGTGGTTGCGCACGCTTGCGCCTGGAGTTGCTCGTAGTAGCTGCTCCACGTAGCCAGCAGCTGCCGCCATCGTGGAGCGTGAATTGGTCCGATGTGGGAGAGAAAGAATCTACACAATAAAAAATTGTTTTTCGGTGGTAAAATAACCTACAGGTCTATTGCTTTTGTGTGTCCGCGAAACAATAACAATCACTAACTAGTCACTATGAAGTATGAATGAGTTTACTGCTTAAACAGGGGTTGCTGAAACGTACAAAGGTGGCGGTGACCATGTGCGATTGCACACTTCTTCAGTGATGAAGCGATCAATAAGCACCAGGCTTCGGAATGTGTCTCGTATTGCAAGTTCATTGGATATCCAGCAATCCCGAAACATGGCCCATTCTTTTCCAACTGATTCTCTGTAAGGGCAGTCATGTAAATGTTACCGCCAACATCAGTTAATTTTTCTTTAAATTTCAGCTTCGTTTTAACTACCGTATGCAAATTCGTGCAGTTCACTATCAAGTGCAAAGTACAATTATTTCAAGAACACGTTGATTCAAAAAGTTAAACGCACGAAAAAAGCCATAGATCAGCGCCAAAATTTTTGACAAGTCTATTGGTTTTACTTTAAAAGTTAAGCCAAAAAATGTCTCTAACCTAATAGCACATTTAGTAATTGGATAAAAAGTAAGCGAGATGTCGGGAATCGCACCCAACTACACTTATTAAAGCCGGTTTTGAAATGACTTTTACATCGGCTGGCTAGGTTGGTTCTACGTCCTCAGGTTGGTTTGAACTCACGGAAAATGAGCCAAGATGGGGGCTCGAACGCGGAGTCTGTCGACTTACAGCCATAAGTGCTACCAACTCGGCTATCTCGCATATGCCGTGAAAATCAATTGATATTTTTACGCTCAACACGAGCACCGTGCTGCCGGCTTACATAACCGCCGGTGCACTTTGCACCGTTTATCGGATGCGTGTCGCGTGTATACCGGTTATTATTGATGCGTACAACGGTACAAGCGCTCAACAACAACAACACTTACTCATGCGTTTCGTGCATTTGAATCAGCTCTTTCGTTTGTTCAATGTAGTGGTTCTTGTACTTAACTAATTTTGCACGGGTTCGCTTCTCCGCTGATCGTAATTCATTGGTTGCACGCGCTAATTCATCTTGAATCCTATTAACGATATCTTTGAACCATTATTACAGGTAGAATATCGATCATTATAAACTATGAGTATATTCCATACTTTGTGATGATGCGTTTCTGTTTATTCTTGGTTTTCATCGATTCCTCTTCGCGCAGTTGGAGAATTTCCAAATTGTAATCCAGCTTCTCAGCATTAACCAGGAAGCTGGCTCGCATGTTCTGCAGTTGCTCCGTCATTAACTGCAAAACGGCAAACATGTACGTTCCTTCACCTAGAAGTGACATATCGTTTGGGTTTTCACTTACGACAATGTCGTTATCCAGGATCATCTTTACATCCATATAAGCATCCAGTTTCGCTGTGCGGAGGACCTTCATGTTGCCCAGTATTTCGTCTAGTAACTCTTCCCTTTGGACAGTAATCGCATCCTATGAAATTTCACATACTGTATTAACTTCCGTTTCTGGCAAAATTAGCCAAAATACTTCCACCGCTAACTTCACAGCCCAAATAATTATGCACAAGATGGAATTAACGAAAATATACAGCAGTTAACATGATGGTTATGAGATACCGTATAAAATGTAATACCTACTTGGTCTTACATCTTTCGCTCTGACTTGGGCGTAACCTTGTTCCCACAGGCCGTTAACCTTCCTTGTGTAGTCGTGTTCAATCCCGATCACAATTTTCTGCAAGATATTGGTTGCATTACATAATATAATTAGGAAGCGATTCTAATTCTCCAGAAGTTTCACGTAGTTACGTTTAATTCGTAAATTTCTTTCCTTCCAAATGCCGCCAGCTTCGTGCAAAACTCCCAAGCCTTCTTCCTAACTCCATCAATGTCCCTCTGATATGTTCGCAGTATGCGAGTAAAATTATCATCCAGGCTTTTCAGTTCATCTTCAATCTCCTCGACAAACGATTGTTTCGATTTGACCAGCTCTTGACCGTATTTCCGATATTTTTCTAGGAGCATCACCAACTATCATCAACGAATAAGAATAACTCCTCCGATTGTAATGATTGATTGTAACTTACTTCATCCAGTGCCAACGTTTTATGACCGATTTCAGAATACTTCCGGAATTTGGCTTGCATTCGTTGGGAGCTTAAGGCTTTATTCTCCTTGATGCGTTGCTCTAATAAGGCGAGATGTTGGCGAACGGCACGACGTCGCTGGATTCGACGGTGGCATACAGTTTTAACGAAACCATGGAGGACGTCTTCTTGTTTCGCAACGTTTCTCCGGAAGTTCTGTCATAGGAAACTTTTGCCTAGAGAACGCTGCATATACAAGCGGGTTTATGAAGTGACCTTTGCGCTTTCCGCCACTGGTGCAAAGGATGGCATCCTGGCTGTCTTTTTCTCTTCGTGCTGATCTTCGATCTGTTCCTCCGTGTTAGACTTTCTGCAACCACAGAGCGAGGTGCACTATGCTCTTTATAGGAAAGCAACATAAATACAAAAGGTTGAAGCGATCGTAATTGTCGAACGCACTGATCTTGGCGAGCCAGACGTTGCTCCAACCGCTTGCGCCGAGCCATGATGCGTTCTTCGCGAACATTCGACAAGATGCCAGATCCTCTTTTAACAGGCTGTGCATTCTGAAATTTGGGAAAATCCAAAATAGGATCCTTATCTTGAAACTGGCCAAAGATTGCATCCAGATGGGCTTGTGATGCAGGACCATCGCCATCTTTAACTCGCAAATCTGCTTCGTGATCCATACAAATGGTAGGGTCCTTTTCTGGTGCACTTCTTATAGTTTAACAGCAAACTTAGCACGCATTATAAGTATGGCCACCATCTGCAGATCCAAATTAAAAGTGACGCTGTCTGTTCCAAAATGTAAGCTTACATCTTTCATAGATAATCCAATCGAACAAATTTGCTGTGGACTCAAGGAAAGCAAGCGCTGTAGAAGTGACTTAGATTATGGGTGGATGTGATACTGAGAATCGGAGAAAATAAAACGTTGTATTATTCCTCATTATGAGCAGTACTTTGAGGCTTAACATAAAGCAACTTGTACAGTATTGCTGGTACATTATATGTGCAGTACTCGTATGCAATTTGCATAAAATCACCAAGCTCGTTGCTTTTGCTTTTTGTTTCGCAGGTGCTCCGTCGTTACCAAGTAACAGCTCAAAGTCTGGCTGAGTGGTAGGAGGCTGGAAAAACTGCCAACTCCTACTGTATGAGGGCTAGTAAGTCCAGAATTTTGGTACGCACCATCACCGTCACACGTGTGACGCGTAACCAATTCCTTTGTCGAGTGGTTAATATTTGCAGCCCATAGCAGATCAAATGCTTGGTGTTAGCGACCCGAGTGTCCGGTGAAAGTTCACAGAATTATTAATAAAACAGTTTTTACTTTTATTGCATTGGAACGATACAGTACCTTGCACTGAATGCTCAAACAGAGAAACAACGGTATTATTCGTATATTTTCTTGCGAGTTTCTTTATTTAACAGTTAACAGACATCGGAAAATTTCCTAAAAGATCATAGCTGTTCTTATAGTTCGCAATAATGGCTGTGATAATCAAGAAACATAGCCTAATTGCTTGTTTTTATTCATTTCTTTTTCTCATCTTTCGGAGTGCCTTTTCCACCGTCGGCCTTTTCCGGTGGCTTTGCCGCTACTTCTGGCTTATTCTCCTTTGCTGGTGCTTTTGGATCCTTTGCATCTTTCCCTGACGTTTGCAGATATTCTTCCTTGGCGTATGGAAATTTTCCTCGTGGCACCGGCTTCCCATCGGGGCCTTTAACACACAAAACTATTCACTTGCGCCGGTAAAAGGTTGAAAGAGTGTTAGTTCTCAGAGATTGCAAAATAGTAAGTATTTAAATGCGACTAGAGCAACATAAAATAATTGACTTACTCGTAAAATAAAAATGATTAGGAGAGTAATAAATCAACAAGTCACGAAGCAGAAATAAATCATAAAGTTTTTGTGTTCGCAAAATTGGTGTATCTGCATTGTTCAGGAACTTCAGAAACTTTTAAGGATACAAAGGCCGCTTTCAGTGCTGAGTAATGACAAAGTTTTGATCTCAGATTTGTGACGCCAAAGGATAAGAATGTTTTGCACTTTAATAAGTCATTAATAATTATAATAAATAAGGTTTAATAAAATCAGTTTTTATAAAATTCATATATTTAACAACAATAACTCTGTGAAGTGACCTTTAATAAAATTGGGTGGATAACAGACTTCCGGCTGTGGGAAGCGTTTCATTAGACGGCTGGGGTCATACTTGATTCCGCGGTCGGTAGGCACATCACCACGTGGAAACAGCATTAGATGCTGCGAGCGGAAGAAACGCGGAAAGAGCATATCGTTGACTTTCCAGACAATCTGATAACAAGAAATTGTTAAACAGTACCAAAAAGAGAAAGATCACTGCACTTTTAATCTGTCATATGCCTTTACCTCTGGATCGGGTAGAACCGCCCCGATTAGCTGCATCAGTGACGGATTATCACAGACAGCTGTGCGGTACTTTTTGAAGGTTATGTAGTCATCCTTCTGGTGGGCAATGCGATTCATGATTAAACGATAAATGTCCTAGTAATAAACAGGGAAATTAATAATAGTAGCGAAATGGTTTTCCTGGGGTAACCTCTGTATGCGGCGCTATGCGCTAGCGTTCAAAACTCAGCAAACGTATGCCGGTTACCGTACCAGACCTCGTAAAATTCGGCTTTTTGGCTGTCAGTCATCGGGTTCAGGTTATAATAGCTCCGCTTGATCCAAAACTTAATGTCTTCAGATTCCAGCTGACCTTTTCCGCGCAGATCGTACGCCAAAAAGCAATCTATAAAGCAATTACAATGTAACTTTTAATCACTTATCAATAAATTACTTATTTCGTGTAGTGCGTCTCTTTATAAATTATTTCAGTGGAAAGTAAATTTATCACAAGCGGTCGTACATAAAGTATTTAGTTATTCTCTGTACCGCCTTATCCTACTTTGCTGTTGAACATACATTTCATTTGTTCGTGAATGGATCCCACTAAAATCGTGTGCATTCCATGAGTCCACTCCTGATAGTCGATTAACTCATCCTAGAAAATTCGCTGGAACATGGATTTCAACAATGGCTGCATAGGACTGCCACTAGTGCGATGTACCTTATTTTTGTCAAAAATAATGAACACTGAAAAAACAATAATTACTGTTACCGCTTGTATTAAGAATAGATTTACCAGTTGTGAACATGTACCTACTGCGTTCACAAAGAAATGCGTCATACATGTCCAGAGTCCCAAAAATAAAGCGCTTGAATTGCGTCTTCGTCATGTATCCCTTAGGCTTTTTAGCGTGTTCGAAGAACAAATCTACTAACGCTCTAGTTTCGTTCTTCTGAACTGCAAAGAAAAATAGCTGTAGCATTTATACCGGCCATCCTTTCTGTGATTTTTCATACGAACCGTACGGCATAATGCGTAAACATCGCACAGTCATGTAGCAAGAATACATTGGAGGTCGGCAGAGTTTCATAAAAAATGTTCACGGAATAGTTTCGGCAAACTTTCCGAAATTAAAATCTCTTTACGCCTACTCTAGGTTGTATGTGTTAGTTAACACGCTCTTTTTATACATTAATTATCCACTGCCCATTAGGAACGAATGGAGTGGATGATAAAGCCATTGTGCTTCGCAGCAGAGTAGAAAAATCAGGAAGGCATAATCCATAAATGTCAAGGCTAAAATATGTGGATAATATGATGCATTTGGTAAAAAGTGTTTTTACATAATTTATTCTAAACATGAGCCAGTTTTAAATCCGCCTGTAAAGTGAAATGTGCCTACTGTCTTGCTAAAACTGAGGGAGAAATCAGTGTCAACACTTGAGAACCCCGAAAACATTTAAATCACCCAGCTTAAATTGTCAAGCAGAATAATTCCGCTGAAAATTTGCCAGAAGTCCATTCCCGTATATGCAACAAACCATTTTAAGTAAGCCAACCAGAAATTTAATAAGCTTGATACACATTTAAAAGAAATTGTTTAAGCTGTAATTCAAGCTGTATAAGTCATAAGTAACATAACTGAAACAGAAAATTCCTAACAAATTTAACTCATAACAAACCTTATAAAACATTTTGCATTGCGTATAGAGGCGGTTCTTTCGGAAAGCGACACTTTCTGGAAAGTGTCTTTAAGTTAATGAAAGCGGTTAAGCTACCATAATTCTGACTTACTGTATCTCACATTCAAACTTCAAAGATCTACGCATGAACTTACGTTCCGAGTGCGGATAGAAGCTGTCGATGAAACGATCTACTTCGCTCTTCAAAATAACTAGCCGCGGCGGCTGTCGTCTCTCTTCGTCCTCCTCCGTAGGATAAAGCTTCAGGTTCTGAGGTGCCAGTGCGTCGTTTTCGCCATGCTCAGGCTTCTTATATACGCCGTCCTTTGTCAGGTACGGTTTCTTGCTTAACATCCAAAAATCATCCAGGGTCACTCCCTGGCTGAGCAGGTTCGTCGATGTAGTCTTGTCCTTATCCATCATGCAAGATTTTAAAACTCTCGAACTACTTCAGCTATTTCAAAGAAGGCACATGTAAAACTGCATCATGCCTGCATCGTTATCTTTAATTATTATTAACTATTACTTATTAATTAATTATTAATTATTATTCACTTTAGCAAATACCCAACAAGTAATTGTAACCAACGTACTGCTGCTTACTGGTGCCGTTTCATAGGGGTAAGTCAGCGACTCAGCGTGGCAGCACGGCCGTAATGCTACACCACACGTTGAAGTACGAGCTTAGGTAAGTATAGTACTCACTGTGCTGTTCTTACTGTACTTACCCGTACAGTAAGTGCTTACTGTGCTGTTCATGGTGCTACCATTAGTTTTCGTTTGTTGTTTCGTCAGTTGCATTTGCAGACAAGGTCTTCTGTTCCTAATGGGAGTTATAAATCAAGCTATAAATTTGTAATAACGTCATATGAGATTTGGATGCTGGATGGTCAAATTACTGTCCATTTAAAATATCATTAATAAATGCTGGATACTATTATGCTGAAAATTGCGAAATCGGAACACGACGAACGATATCCGGCGCTACTGCCCAAGTTTATTTTACCCAATGTCTCCAATCTCCAAAAATCTCCAAAAAACGCTTTAGAATGGAGTACATTAAGCGGACCCTACAAATCGGTGCAGCATATTGACGCCATGAAGAAATCGCACAAATTCGAACGACTCATCTTCGGTCTTGCCAACTTTCTGCAGCATGCCCTTAATTATATCATCCTCACATGAAATCCCGAGACCGTAACAGATTTTACTCAATATCTCTTTATTAATCTTTCCAGTCTTATCGACATCGTTTTCCAAAAACAGTCGGTAGATCCGTTGGTGATCGAGGTTGTACCAGCGGTTCAGCTTGTTCAACGCTTCAGCAACATCCCTCTCAACCTCGCCGGTTGCCACATACACATCCTCTCTAACTGCCGCTTTCCCGCTGTCCACCGCTCTGCGAAACTGATCAATCTGCTCGGGAGTATACATTCCCGGCTGGCTCAAGGCAAAGTTAACCACGTGTTCATCACAGTTAACAATTTGGAAATAGCGTCCGCAGATGAAGTGCACGGATCCAATAGTGAAGTCCTGCTCGGTGTAATACTCGGGTGGGTTGGATGTGCCTTCCTTGATCAGTTTTCGTCGCGACAAGAATGTCTGCTTGACGGAACTGATAGAGGCGACAGACTGCTCCATAATCATCACGGTTCCATCGCCGACGAAGTAAGAGAAGACGAAACGTCGCGACCGATCATCCGGCTCCTGGGTGACCTTTAACAAGAGCACAGTTAGAAAGTATCGCTTTATAGATGTTTGAGCGAGCGCAATTTGAGGAAGCTTCATACCACAACTAAAATGTAAAATAAAGAAGCAAGTAACCAAAGTCAATAAAATAAATCAATAAATTAAGGACAAATCTGTCGAACAAATTTGAAGTTAGGTATTTCGCAATATCCAGTTTTCGCTGATTCGTAAGCCACTGAGGGAGTTCAAAGCGCTAACAAGTAAGCAGCAAACCACACGCTAAGTTTTCTTAACTATGTAATGCCCTTATTTTCTGTTATGCATCGCTTACCAGTCGCGCTTCGTAACGGAGAACTTCCTTATCGTAAACGATGGCCTGCAGATCGTTTTTCTTGGGAGGCTGTGGATTGAGACTCAGACAGTTCTGCATACTGTCTTCGAAGCCGCCTTGCCGGTGCATCGGATGCCATTCGCTATGCCGATGCTTATTCAACTCCGGCTGCTGCGGCAACAGCTCATCCGGATGGACTTTGGGAAACTCCATGTGCCCCAGTTTTGCCTTGTACCACTCCTTTGTTGCCTCATCACAATCACAAATAGTGACCTTTCTCCCGAACAACAACAGCGTTTGCCCCGCTTTCAGGTCCTTCCACGTGTAACATTCCGGTGTTGTCTTATCCCCGATCTCCGCTATAAAAACGAATCAAACTTTATGCGATGTTGAAGTGAAGTACCGCTGCGTGCCTACGAACAAGGTCCTTGTAGAAGTTCTTCGGGATTTTCTGGCGCTTGATGATGGTCCGTACGGGATCGTAGCCGGAGTTCTTCGCGGGTCGCATTGTTAATTCCATGGTGTCATCGTATATATAGTATTTGAGGCACATCTTGCGGACATCACCGGCTTTGAACATGGTCTCGTCCATGATGACCTCGAAAGTCAGGACTTTCCCGTCGTACTGAAGGAAACGGCTGAGCGGTGGAATGTCTGGCTTGTCCGATGGAATGGTATGTGGTCGCGCAGCAAAATCTCTGTACTGAAGATATGGATCGTCCGGGAGTTTTTCGGGGGGACCGATTGTTGATCCATTGTAAAGATAATAGTACTGAAGAAACAATAAGTTCGATAAGTTGCATACTTTGGTGGGAATGAGATTCTACAATCCCAGAGAGCTATATGAAGTGCTCGCACGGCAAACTACAGCGCACTCGTCAGAAAACGCAAACATTTAGGCGCGAATCATCACTGAACGACACAACGAACATAGTGGCGGCATGTGTCGATTCTCTGCTGCTAATATCCGACATCGCGAAACATTGGAATAGATCCAAGAGATCGCCACTGGACACAAACTTACGTTGTTTTCATAATCGATTTAGCGACAAAACTTAAAATGCCAGTGCACCTTAGTGACCATACCCTTGTATAATCATCGCAGTCGTAAAGGTGGAACTGATGTCCGCTGAGATCCAGGTCCACACCGATATCCAGATTGCTCCAGTGCCAGAATACACGCTCCGGGCCGGGCATGTAGTAGCGCGCTCTTCGCAAACATACTCCTTGCTCAAAGCCGGCATTAACTTGTGGATTTTCATACACTCGGATGGAGTTATCCTCCGTGTAGTAGTACACTGTGAACTGGCGCACCCGATGGTTCAGCTTCAGAAACGGATTCTCCTGCTGTACAACATCCACACGGTAGGCGAAGAACCTCAACACCTGTGGTAAAACATCAAGAAGCAAATTTGCCTTTGGTTAGCTCAACAGTAACAACTTCAAACAGATTTTTGAGCAGCTATGTACAATAATGCTAATAACGTGGGGTGCAGTTTAATAGTGCAGAAACAAGCACCGCGTTCAAGTTTTTATATGCCAAGTGTCCTATAAATTGTTATGTATATTTTAAATCAAAGCGCTAATGAGTTTAATCGTTGTGCAATAGGAAACTGATCGTTGTTAATAAAAGTAAAGTCCGCCCGTAAAAAAGATACTAACTGGCGCACTTTCGGCGTTGCGATCCTGCAGGAGCTTCTTCTCATCTGCCAATGTCAGGTTGGTTGCACGTTGCGTTGGCGTCGTGTAGAACTCCGGATGGAGGCATCCCGTTTTAATGAGATCGCCAAACTGATCAGAATCCAATCGAGGTTCGTCCACATTAAATGCGCCCGAAGGGCGGCTGGAGCGCACACAACCAGGAACACTGAGGGACTGCGCACGGGTATAACCATGTCGCTCCTACACACAAAAACTGTGTTTAGACAATGCAGAAACACTGCAGTTTAAACGACGATTGTCTTCCATACTTTGGTGCGCAGGTAATCGTTAGTGTAGCCGAGAGCAAACGATGGTGCCACTAATTGCGGTGCAGTCATTATGATGTAGTAACGCTGACAGAAAATGAAATCTTATATTCTATCCTACAGAACATCTAAAACGAAGCTAGCAAATTAAGATAGCATGATAGGCGTAAACAGCGCAAAACTTTCCTTAGCCTTCCAATCCACATGAATTTGGAAGTACTGTAAACTGAAGTTTTTATCATGACAGAGAATTACATTGCACATAAAGAAAACATAGTGCATGAATTTTACGTGCTCCTGAGCTCCTCGCCGAGTAAATTCCCCTTCCGGCTGAGACACCCACTCAATATGTTGCCATGGTATTAGCATATTAGCATGCTAACGCCTGTCTTTTAAACACGGTACACGGTTCGTTCAACAAATCTACGTACGACAAGAGGCAACAAATTTAATCCAAAGGCACGGATCCAGTGTATGATCAAACGTGCCTGAAGTAACACGATTAAGTACTTACTGTCGGCAGTATCGGGTTGTCTCACTTGTGTGTTGAGGAAGTACCTCCATTCCTGGAATATTGTAAAGATCGGTCCTACATTCCGTGCACATATACATCTCTCGCATGGTTTGCCCTGCTTGGTTATTCGGACTACGACAGCTGCGCAGCAGATCTTTGCATTCGTAAAAGTTGTCTGGTGGTCCGGTATATGTCTGATCTGCAAACAATCATCATCCGTGTCTTCGTTTTGCAAAGGGTGACGCACTTTTGAAAGATCGGCGGTGGAAAATGTCTACTGCTCTAGGATCTGTAAAGACCCCGCGTATCTACGCGGTTTGCTATAATTTCATACGAGTACTTTGAGTACGTATCCTGTTGCCGAAACATGCTGTACTTTATTCTTTACGAGTGTTCGCAAGTTTATCGTGACCTTACGTCTATAAATTTACAGCGCAGACTTTATTAAGTTTAGCGTTGCCAGTTTTAACGATTGTCGGGATTATTCGTCGGGTTTTCGTCTAATGCCACTTTCACGGTCATCGTTGTGGCTGGGCACCTTTTCATCAACCATTCACTCAGTTGGCTTTCGTTAGATCTGAGCACATTTTGCCACTTACTGAAAACACAAACGGCAGGGGATAAAAGGTGGCAGTGGCACCTGCCACTGGCGATTGCCACCGGCAGTGGCAGTTGCCACTGCGCGTTCTGGCAAGCGATAAAAGGTGGCAGTTGCCGGAAACGGTAAAACTTAGTTTTTTTCTGCAAAACTGTCCGATTTCTCTAAATTTGGATCAGCCAATGTACTCGGTTATATGGTTTGAGAAATATAAAAACCGCATTGCTCATAAAAACAATTAATTTTAATATTCTGATAAAATATAAAACGCATTTAAACGGCCTTACACATTTAAGTAACCGAAAAAACGTAATAAACTCAAAAACTAAAAAGCAAAAAAACTAAAAAGCTTCCGAAAACTGAAAAAAATGATTCTACAGATAGTTACGGATAGTGGTTCTCGTGGTCGTAGCGGCAGCGGTGCTGGCACTCTTAGTGGCGCTGATGCTGCCATGCTGGTTATCGTAACAAGGCTGGTTTCGACTGCCGTACCGCTATTATACTGTTTGGTTTTATTTGGTGTTTCCATCCAGTTCGTTTATTTTGGGTTTGGAAGTTTTCTTCGACTCTTTGGTTAGATTCGCTTATTTTAACAGATTTTTCAGGTTTCTTGTGCTTGCTAAGGTTTTCGGAAGTCTTTTCAGCCCCCGGCTTTCTAGGATATATTTTACGGTTCAGGTTTTTTGCAATAGATTATGCTGTTAAATAGTAAAAAGTTTGCTTACAACGCTCAGCTCAGTATACGTTTATGTAGGTAGCAGTTCTAATTATTAAGGGAAGTGGCCTGATACACGGTACCAAATTACCAATTCGTATATCCGCGCGAAAACCTACACTTTCGCATATTCCCAAGCACTTTTATGCTTTGTTTGATGACAATCTGTAGCCCGAATAAAAGATTTCTAATAAAAGAATAAAAGCCAAACGATTTCCACCTGTTTTGGAGCTAATCCGGTTAAGTTCTTATTTTAACTGGCGTGCCAAAATAACTTTATGCGAGCACTCCTGATTTGTGGCAACTGCTACCTTTTATCGCTTGCCAGAACACGTGGTGGCATGTGCCACTGCCGGTGGCAGTTGCCAGTGGCAGGTGCCGCTGCCATCTTTTATCACAAACACGACACACTGCGCAGAGCAAAGCGAAAAATCGCAGCTGTAACAATCATACAGCGATTTCATTGGTCATTCTATTTTACTACTGTGCTCGTTCGAAGTGGACAGATCAGCAGTCCTGCCCACAGCATTACTGGCAGTGCCAAGATAAAAGTTTCAGCAGAATGCCACTTTAGAGTATAGAAAGAGTGCGCTGGCATTTATCCAATACAAAGCGTCATACAAATGTGAATGTCCAAAGAAATTATTAGGTAGCCATTTCTGCACGACAGCTCCACGTATTATCGTTGACAGATGTATATTGGCCGTAGAAAGGATTAACATTGGGATGAGTATGAGCAGGCTGGTTTCCGGGTGTACATGTGGGCCAGCTGATTTGGCATCGCCTGGCAAACCGGGATTCTCCTCCGTTCCCAACGTTTCGTTATTGCAGTAGTCTGTCGCGCATGCATGACACTTAACGCTCCGCCCAAATGTGGTTGTCCAGACTTTGGTTATGCTGTCGCAAGTCGGATATTCCGGGTTAAAAAGGCATTCAAAAATGTAAAACGGATCCGCATGGCTTTCGAACGGATCTATTGAACAGAAAATTAGTGTCACGTTACTTAATAGAGTGACCTAAAATACTCAGACAGCACATTTGTATTATTACTACTCATCTGCAAAATGAATTCTTAAGGCGTGAACTTTCAGCCCAAGCGAAATCGAGTTGTAAGAGATTGCGAATCAACCGTTCATTCGTTTACGCAACCAAAGTGGACAAAGTGAATTTCATTCTTATCTGCCTGACAGTTGAACTGCTAAAATCTTGTTGCGCTTAGTAATTTTTTCGACTAAAGTATTTTTATGTGGCGTTCCGTTCGGTGCGGGCTTTTTTGTCTTCCGCTTCGTCCTCTCAAGCTTCGTCTCCCATTTTCATAGCACAATTAATTCAAATTAGTCACCTGTGAATCGCAGTTTTATGCAGAGTTGCGCAGTCGGGCAGTCCTTCCGCTCATCAGCGGAAGCGTACTGCAGATTGTGAGTGCCTTTATTAGCTGACAGCATCCAACAGCTCTCTTCCTTACATCCATAGCACTTAATGCCTACGCCTTCAGAAACAGCGAGTAAATGTTAAAAAATGCGGTTAGGAAGCCACGCGGGGAATCGTTAACGTTTTGCATCGGTATGAGTACACAAGAAATCCAGGGCTGAAGTTATGCAGCCACGACTTACTGCATTGGCTTAAAGCTAAGACGATGAGTACTTCCAGATAGACTTTTGGAGCTAACATTCGCCACACATGTATTCGTTAGTACGACCATATTTTCTGTGGTTATCGGTGGTTTAATATGACAGTTTCCGAATTCCGAATACTGCCACGAAAAGCAGCAAGAACTTTACCGTGATCGTCATCAGTACATATATTTATGGGCAGAAAACTTCTAATAAGTATGTTGTCTCCTGACAACCCACTGGAGAGAAAAGGTGCACTGATAAACATCTTCCGCAAAATCGCCTTTTGAGTATTTACTAGCTAAAGTTCTGAATTTTAGTTTTTCTGAACTGAAGCAGATAACAAAAACTAGAAGCACATATCACAAATGGCACCAGCACTGGTTTCAGCAGCTTCAATAAAATTTGGAAAAGAAGATTAGCCTTGTTCACCGTGCCGAGTACTAGTTCAGCTGTGCCAATATTTCCCCATTTCGGTTCAGAACGAAAACGAATGTTCGACTGGCATGAGAACGCCGTCTCCCGCTCACGCGATGTACCGCAGTATTGTCCTGCAGAAGACATGGTGACTTTAACGGGAAGCCACACAACGGTACAGTTTTAACACAATGTGCTGTACCGGTTGTCCTCTGCTCGCACAATGAATTCCCTGGCGATGAGTCCATCAATGCTCTTCTTGATCATATCCATGGTGGGCGTAAAACGGTGAAGCAGTGCATTGTGTAGTTCGGCAATGAGATCCGCATCATCCATCTGCCGGTGGCCCTTCATGATGCGAATCACGGCGGCGTCCACTTCGTGGCGGCGATCACTTTCCTGCTTTTCACGCGCCTCCTTGCTGGTCTCCTCATGGGAGGTGTCCTCGCGCGACTCCGTCTTTCCGCCTGTAATCGCGACATTCAGTGTGACTGTTATGTAAGCACTGGTAAAATTACCATAAATCCACCGTGAAAGATGTTATTTATACCTGTGTTGACCTTTACACGGAATAGCTGAGAGTAAAAGCTGTCGTTAACAGCAAATCGATGCCCGCTTTCTGCAAAAACCGCAACAGATTTAACCAAGTTTGAATGTTCGTGATCCTAAGAAAGCGTTACTCTTAGAAAACGTTACTTATGTGGAAACGTTATAAAATTAATAAGTTTATATTAGTTCTTTTTACCCTATGCGAAGAAGACAGAGCAGTTGACTGGTCTAGTCAAAGTAATTTCTATTCTTGGTTTACTTTTTATACTGTATTTGTATGTGTTTTGAATTTTATTGACTTAATCTGGAACTGTACCTGGTAGTTTCCCAGCGCCCACCTTTATTAACAGCCGCATCCTGCTGGTACACAGCGATGCAATGGCCCTCTTGAGATCCTTTTCGGGGATGTTTGTGGCTGTCGCCATGTCCTGGTAAGACCACTCCGGCTGTTTGTTGAATAACATGAGCACCACCATCTGGTAGGTTGTCACTTGCAGCATGTACTTGCGAACAGTCTGCCCGGTGGCACCAGTGACGGCCGGTGGCTGATCGTTGATAGCCGGCGGACCGTAGAATTCCGCAGCGATTTCCGCTGTACCGAGGTTATTCTGCAGATTGAGTTGGCGACCGTTGTGCATATCCAGGTACAGTCTATTACGGAAAAAATATAACTCAGACGTAGAGTGTAAACAATTACGATTAAAAAAAAGCTTGTATTATTTTTGAAGCATCGTTTGCCATAAAAATTCACAATATACATACACGATACTTCGAATTTTGGAAAATAAAAAATGACGCAAACTTAGTTTTTTAAAACTAATACTGATTGCATACGGTAAAAAAGAAAACTAATCCATTAATTAGTCTGATAAAAACCAATTCTTAAAGGCTTCGCATGACATTATTTACTCTTCTCAAATCAGTACTGCTTTAAAAGAATTAGGAACTGAAGCCAAAACATGCAATACCGTAAAGGTTTCTTACTTTCGGAACTCCAAAAATGTCTTCTGCGCTTCCCAGGGCAGGTTAATCGGTGCCGGTGACGGCGGCATCGGCCAGAATCCCGTTGTCAGAACTTGTACGTTCAACTCAACCGACGTAGCAATCTACAACAGACGGTGACGTACTGCCGAAAGCGTGACCTGTCATTTTACACTACCTTACATTGTTCTGAAAGCAGTGATCCTGGAACTTATCATTGCACGTCCCCGACAACAGTATATCGCGGTACATTCCCTCCAGTTTCGATGTATAGCTGTACCCGGCCTCATTACGTAGTTTCGTCAACATGGTCTTCTCCGCCTCTTCCGCCTGCCCGCGGGCGTTCAACAAGCGCCGCGCTAGGAAGTGCTTATAATATCGTTCAAAAAGGTCACGATCATGCAGATAACGGAAGAGGACCATGGATTGCTCCAGGACAGTGTTAAGCTGCTGCTCCGTTAGTACCTACAACATAGGCGGTTTATGTTAAATATGATCTGAGTGTAACCTTTCTGGTTGTTTCCCAAAACTACAATCTTACGTTCTTACTGGCATTCCGCAGTTGTTCGTCAATAAATAAAGTCAAGAGTTCCGGGGACTTTTTGTTGAGGTTAAAGAAGTATTCAAAATCCGTGGCGATCATCTTACGCAGACGAGGATCCTTTTTGAAAGATTTCTCCAAAAAGAGATCGTATTCGCGCTTTAGATCCAATAAAGCCTGTGCATCACAAATAACATTGGGAATTTGACCAGCGTTTTTGGTTCGTACAGTGTTCGGTACAGATAGTAACCGCTTCAAACCTTTGTATACTGTCGAAAGCGATGCTCACCTGAATTAGCTGGACAGGAGTTTTTGTAGTGCCGGTGCTGTCAGACATCAGAGCGGTTCCCTGCTGGCGTAGATATTGACTCATGGGTGTTAGCAGTTTAGGAATGCCTTCGTTGATACGGTTGAGGATTTTGTACATTGCCGTCATCTCTGCAGAGACCGGTGTACATTGTTCTACTTTCCAATCTGGTATTTTTTATTGGAATGCAAACGGAATATGCGCAATGCTGCAAAATTATATTACTTACGTAAAACTTAAGAAAAATTAAACAACAATAAAATTTATGAAGTAAAATTTGTATATACAAGACGAACACAATTTCAGTTAAAATAATGTTATGCATATTACCTATTGCGCCCAGTTCATGTACTAGTACATGCACCCACGTATTCGCCGGCATACGCTTTAGACGGTGCAGTTTACACGGCGCACATAACAAGTTGGTTTACCTGTAAAATTACGGTTTTGAATGAGGGACACAACCCCACCGACCGGCATATTGATGATGGTCTCAACGTGCTTCTCGATTAGCTCGGTATCAATCAGTCTGTCTACGCCGGTTTTCGTCGAGGGATCCAAGCAGTTCATAGTCCGTTCTCCTTCGCTTTGGATCAACTTTTCCACGTTTTTGATGTAATCGGTGGCACTGTTGTCCGAAAAATATTTCTGTGATTCCAACTGCAACACAATAACGATTGCTTGTAAACACTCAGTTTCTCCCATGGAAAAATTCAAAATCGAAAGCGTTCATGTGCACTTGCAAGTGTACAGTACAGAGTAAGATTACGCAGAGCTGCTGAGTCAGGCTGCTCCAATACTCAAAATTCGTCTGATGAAGAACACAGATAGTATCAAATGGCAAAGCAAACTTACTCGGAAGTACGCAGCCGAATCCGCGAGGAAATCTCGCTCGAAATCCTCTTCATACACAATCCGCGATCCCGCACCCAGATCCATCAGCATGACCGTTATTCCCTTGATCGTCTCCCGATCGACGCTGTCACCCTTTCTCTCTTTGTTGATCAGCTCCAGCAGAGTGCTGAGCAGGCGTTCCTTGACCCGACCGAAATGCAGCACCGTGTCCCGGAACAATCCCAATCCCATAGCGTATACGGCGGAAGTCTTCGTATCTTGGACATCGACTTTGCGATCCTGTAGTAGACCATACTGAAATGACAGATTGACTGCGATGCGGGGACAGCACGAACCATGTACATGAAAATGTCTTTCAGGATTTGCATCCCGGAGGAGAAAGCGTCCCAGGTGCGCTTGACGGTGGTGAGGAAGGTGGCATCCACGCACTGGGCCACTTCGTTGCGGACCTGGAGCAGTTTGGAAAGAAGATTACGGCATGAGTTTGTAAACAGTATAGCACTATAACTGATCAATATAATGAACTGTTTTACCATTACTTTGCAGTCAGCTTTCAAAAACACATGTACTAGTGCTGTTCTCAAGCGGAAGATTTTGCTTTGTTGCTCTAAAATTTCTAGCTACTACCGCAGCTACAAAAATCCGAACAAACATCGAAATCCGGAAATTGTCAGTGATAAAAATCTCAAAATTAGATAGAAATACATACGCAGATTCGTTACCGCACTGAACATTCTTTCAGTTTTTTTTCTCAACTGCTGCATATTCTAACACCTGCTGGCTTGTAAATATTTTATAACTATGTTCTTGAATCCAAGTACGAAGCAGGCTCGTTAAACATGGAAACATGGAGCGCGCTTGCTCCGGCTAATTTTTATTTTGAAAAGAGATGCAGCACAAACTTAACATTGAGTAAGTTGCTTACATGGCTCTCCAGGTGCGCAGCGATGACATTACGCAGATTATCCTGCACCATCCCACCGTGTTTATGCAAGAACATTCCGTAGGCATGATTATACAAGTCTTCGAAATTGGTTTCAACGGGCTGCTTCTGCAGTATCGCCTCGATGGCGGTCCTCAGCACCGTCCACGTATCATCCGCGTACTGGACCCCCACTGGCGCCTAACAAGATGCAAAGGTCATTAGCAGTCCACGCTCCTTTCGAGATCTACATTCTTACGGGAAACGGCTTAATCCGCAAATGGGGCATCGTGAATGCATCAAAAGGCTTATCTACGTCATAAAGAACCGCATCTTCTACAGCATAATTATGAGCACTTCGTGCTCTTTAAAATCTCGCTTACGATGCTTAAGTATCGATGTTTATCGTCTCCCTATTGCCGAGCAACGCGCTTGCCTGACATGTGTACAAGCGGGAATACAGCGTGCGCTGTCCAACATGCTTGTAAATGTTGGCGATTGTTTAAGTGTGCGTAAAGTGTCGGATTAATCTGAACGGATATGCCAGCGTTTTTAGCCACGTATGGCGGACTAATCGGCGGCTCATTTATCGGGATTGCGGTGATCGCTCTCTTTGCCGTTCTCGCCAAATTATACTTTGCCCAGCAGAATCTCGGCACCAGTCTCAACTCCATCAGCGGTCCCAATGGGGGCGCTGAGCTTACCAATGCCCGCACGGAAGCAGCTAACGCTCAGGCGGCGCTGGATCGTCTGCGCGCCAGTCTGGGCGCCACGGAACAGAACAACCGGCTGCTCAATGACCAGATTGACGCCTCACAGTCACAGTTGTCCGGATTGAATGACGAGCGCAAGAATCTGGAGGACCAGTTGGCGGAGGCGGGCAAGGATAAGAAGAAGAAAAAGAAGGGCAAAACCAAAGGTAAAAGCGAGCGACGGAAGAAGCTGGAAGCAGACTTGGAGGTGGCCCGCTCCAAGCTGGCCACCAATATGCAGTTGTTGGAACAAATGGAGTCGCAGCAGGATTTGACACTGCAGATGGCTAAATCGTCGCTGGAGAGGGTGCAGCTGCAGGATGGCGGGGCTAAAGCGGAAACGGAGCAGTTGAAAAAGGATATCGCTGCGTTAAACGTCACGATCCAAGGTAAGTGAGTAAGGCAGCCCAATTGTGTGAGGGTTGTAATAACGTAATAGTAATTGTATAATAGGAGTTGTAATAGTAGTTGTTGTTCATTAACGAGAACAGAACAGATGAATGTAATTTGAAGATTTTGAAGATCCAGGGTATTTATTATAAACTTTCTTTCATTTGCTCAAGTCAAAAATTTGATTTCGTCAAATGCCCCGTTAATTGTTTACAATTGTTCGATGCGCTGAAATTTTTTGTCTAATGTTAGTTTTTTGACCTTTACCTAGCTTCATTCACGCAAATTGCGAAACAGGAATTGAGCAGTGTAAGCCGATCTGAGATGAGTCAGTTAATCATTGGCAGTAATTATTAAGTTTGGCAGGTTATACCTATGGCTGCTCCGGCCATATCGAAGATGATCAAAATCAAATTCTCCTTGTTGCATCTCGTTAAAGGTATTTGATCTCAGTGCGGTGTTTGTTTTGCAGAACTGGTGGAAGAGACCCGTAAAAAGTCCGTGGAGACTCCTGGCGCAGCGGGTGATGCCGGAATTAACGCCATAGAAGAGGAAGTAGATGAGGAGAGCGACGACGATGGATGTTGCAGCTGTTGTAGTTGTTGTAAGAAGAAGGGAGCAAAGGTCAGTCTGCGCTTGTTTACATGCAGTTGAAAATTTGGGGGTACATATTAAAATTAATGGGATTTTCTGTTATAGACAAGCACGGCCGGCAAATCGGGACATACGAAGCGCGGCAGCAAACTTACCGGTGTCAATGCCCATGCCACGGCAAAAGTAGAAGCCGTACCACCACCGGCCGATGGGACAGCCCTACCGGCAGCTGGCGATGCACCACCTCCTGTCATTGAAGTGACGCCACCAGCGTAGAAATGCCTAATCTTTATTTGGGTTTTGATTGTTTAGCCTTTACGGTGCAGTGCAAGTTGTTCTAATTCTTTTAAAACACAATTTTTATTGGAACTTCTATCTCTTAATTCTGTGGTAATTCCTTTAGGCCAGCTGAAGGCACAGAAACGGTTTGGTTTGATTGTTTTAATCAGCATAGCGGATCTGTACGACTATGGCACGTGTGTCGCATTAGAGTTTCGTTCCTTTCAGTACCGGAATTTTCTCATTTTGTAGCACTTCTGCGGTTAATAAGAATGCTCAAAAAAATTTTACTAAAGCGTTATAGTTTCGACGATCTCATAATCCATCCCATTGCTGTCACAGTATTCTATAGTCGTTGCTAACACACCAATCGCCAAATCGGTCCTCGAACAACGGAATATTTATCGTACCGATCTAAAGACTGAAAAGCGAGAATAGAGGCAAAAATAGTTGACGATTTTAGAAACTTTGCAATCCACAAACCGCAGACAGACAATTTTTTTACAGTATTCGGATAAAATCTGAATCATATTGTTTTATGAGCAACGCACAACGCACCGCGATCGATAGACCTTATTCAATCGAAAAGTTTATTCTAGAGGTCAAGAAACAGCTGCATTGTTTTTTTCTATTATTTGAAGGTAGGCTGCTTGCACAAAGGCAGTAACTTAATAGCTAATTTTAACAAATCAGTTCAATACTTTTTCGCATACATCGTTAAATCGGAAGAATTAGTCGCCATAAAATTGTGAATAGCTTGCACACAGTCAAATTTAATTCCGGTTATGCGAATTCTGCGAATGATATCCTCAAGACGGTAATTGTCATGTGCGTGAACGGGCTCCTGGTCGCGAAAACATTGCAGGATCATATCCACAACGGACTGATTGGATCCTTCGTGCTGAAAATAAATAAACTGCTCTTGAGAAACTATTTAAACTGTTGCCCAGCAACTGCAGAGCCGCATGGTTACAGTAGCTCTAACCTGATCGGCCAACAGCAGTCGGCGTAACTCCCCGTTCAGAATCGGAAAGCGATCGTAAAGCACACATGATAGCCACAACTCTTGGAGGTAATCTGAAAAATAAAATAGCACCTGCGATTTACTATACTGACTACACAAAACTCAAAGCCAAGACAGATTCATTTGGTTTGATTTATTTGATCTAAGTCGCCGCATCGTGAATGCAATTTCATTGTGATTTTTACTTATTTGTTCACTATAATGTTTAGTTATGTGTTTATTTTTAGAGCACTCGGAATAAACAGACCGAGGAAGATTAGAATAAGCATAAAAAATGAATTTTTATCTGGCATCATCAATAGGGCGTCGCCAAAACAAAGTTTTAAAAGGAGCAGACTGTTGCCATTAGTCAATGCACCGCATACGTAATTGTACGGGCCAGTTTATGTTTTTTTCGTATTTGGTAGTTAAATAAGTACTCTTATAAATCTGAACCGAGTACTGTGCTCAATATTCTAATGTTCCTCAGCATAAAAATGAGAAAGTTCTGAATTTATAGTCGGTGATTTATAATGGGTTAGCTCTTTTGTCGACATTCAAACCTGACCCTAGATTTACAACCCGGGAGGCTGGGAGTACAGTTTATTAAGATAGTTTTTTTAAGTAGATTCAATCAGAATTATGTGTACGTAACGCACCGAAAAAATCCTTTATGTATCCATCTTCGAACCGAATGACCATTTCGAGCCAGCGTTCTTGCATCCCGTGCACTAACACCAATCGTTGCACATCCAGCGGTAACTGAGATAAGCACACGATCTGTCCCACATTGTTCAATTCGTCTAGATAGATCTCACAGAGATTTCCGTCCAAAAGGCTTCCTGTCGATAACGCCCGGCGGTTCTCGCTTCTTCTAAAGGATCGTGCGTCTGGTTCTCCGCATCCCGCTCCTGGTATCAATCTAGCCGGGGAAGCTGCAGATCGGTAAAAGTTGGCGAAATCAGTGTAAGATTACTCTAGTCGATTACTTTAATCTTCTGCCAAAAGGTCAGTTAAGGATCTAGAATTATGCTGTACGTATATTTTCCAAATAGCACTTAAAAGCAATTTGTTTATTCCAGTTAACGTTTGATAAATGCTTACTGATATTGCAGTAATACCATCCAAAAGGCAGTTCCGTACATTCCACAACTGGTTTCTTAAACTCCGGCACTCTATCTGCATCTTTCCCCGTTGCGCCGCCGAGTTGACTTGGCGCAATAGTTTTTATTAAGTCCATAGCAATAATGTCACCAATCTCCCTGGCATTCACTTCTGCTAACCGGAAGTCCGGTGCATACAAACGCCGCGGAAACTTGCAGCCGGCGCCACCGGCCCAAATCCACTGTTCAGTTGCATGAAACCTTTCGTCCACCACCAGTTTCCCATCCATAACCAAATACGACGAATTAACGAAGGTGTACGCTGACGGACCGATATCCTTCTCGGTGAAGTTGAAGAAGGCACGCGCATTGTATGTCTTGAAGGTCCGCTCGTCTGTCCAAAAGGTCACGGTCTTGATCGTTTCACCGCCGTCGCCGTCGTTGTAAGCCACGACGTGCCAGCCGCTGCATACGACGATGCCGTTGATATACATAAGGTTTTTGACCCAGGTTTCACATTCGGGGGAGCTAAAAGCCGTGCGGGCTTCGCGGATATCGGGCGCGGGATCCACGAAGACAATCTCTTCGGCAAGAATGCCCATTCGAAGGAGTGTTGTCACGCATCCATAGGATTCTAGAGCCATGCCGTATATGACGTAGTACCTATGGAAATTGCAAACTATCAATGTTAACCTTTGTTGTTTTCTTTGGTCTATAAGCAAAACGAACAGTCCTTTTATGTTCGGTAACCGGCAGACTCGGCACAGAGAGATCGGATAAAAATAGTTAGCTGCTTTTATTATCTCGTTTCTGTGGACGGCACAACTTATAATTTTATATGGAAAAGTTTGATTAAATTTTGAAATTTCCCCTTTATGGTGTTGCCGATAATTTAGGGTAGAATCTATGACTCAAAAATTAGATTTCAAATTTGTGTTTGCGGATGTAAACGCAAACGTAAACGAAACGAAACCAAACGAACCCAACCTAAACCTATTGGTTCAATAGCACCAAACGAAACCTATTGGGTTCAATAGCCATTTCACTACAATACTGCATACAAATGCACTGAAGATATACGCTAGTAGCCAACTGAAAACATAGTCCGCAAAGATTCTCGGTGAGGCTCGCTTTGATTAATTAAAAACATTCAACCACGTCCTACCCGCTTTGTGAATCCTTTCTTATCGCCTCCAGCTGTGATATAACACTGTCCGCTTGCCATGCGTCATTAACCACGAAGAAATTCGTCAGCGTCTGACAGGGCGACTGGAATCTTCGCGGCGGCATCTTCGCAACGGCGCACGCCTCAGCACACACGGTCTCCGCCAGCTTAGTCAGCCACTGCGAATCCACACTGACATCGAAATCGAGAAACTGTAAACCAGTGCCGATGACTAAATAGTCCACGGGAATCCGCTGCTTATCATTGACATACAGCACCTTCCGGCTTTTATCCAGCGTAATCGCGGTGCCGAAAATCACTTGAATATTTGCCGGTATCGCCAGTTGATTTAGTTCGCGCCGGGTGAACAACTGCCTCGCGGAAGGAAACGCCTTAACGGTCACGTCATCCTGATCGATCAGCGGGATACCATGCGAGCTAACCAGTATCAGATTTGCAAAGCGGAGATGCGGATTCAGGATAATGTTACGTGTCACTTGCAATGACATATCCGAAGCGCCGATTACGGCAATCCTGGATGGAATGACTTTCTTGCGATCGAAGAGCCATCGCCGATTAACCATGTATAAGGCGAATGGTTCCTGTTGTTCACGTGCTGATTGCGGCGGGAGCAGTTTCCAGTCGGCCTTATCAGAGAACCTCAGCACATTCCGCGGTCGCACGAGCAGCATCTCTTCTAGACAGCACGGACGCGTGTCTTTCCGCTCCGCTTGCGATTTTACCGGATAGAATTTATAGAAGAAACATGTCGCCCCGGAACTCCGCATTAGTTCCTTCAGAATGTACCGATTGAAATGGTTGAACAGCGGATTGATAATGAAATGCAGTATGCGACAGAAGCCGGTGTCACTATGTACAGGAACGAACATGAGATCCTCTAATGCGTAATGCGCCACCAGATACTCCATGTCAGTTTCCAGAAAATACACAGCGAAACCAATAATACATCCGTCCACACGGAACACTGTTGTCAGCAATCGTGACGTCTCCAGGTTGGTGCGGTAATAAACGGCGTCGCGGAATGCGTTGAAGAGAAGGTCACCATCGGCTTTCCCACCGAGAAAGGCTTGAATGGCCTCCAGATCGCGCGTGCTGCCCGGGAAGAATTCAATGTCGTGTGCGCGGATGAGGCCAGCAATGTGGTGGATGTAGAGGTCTTCTCGTAAAAAACGGTTCTCCCGGAAAGGGACGCGGAGGAGTTGGTGTAGCGGACCGTCGGGTTCGGTAGTGGTGGTAAGAGTTAGCAGATAATCATAACCGGGAAATGTGCGGTAACAGTGCATTAGAATGTCGTCGGTGTGGGTAGTGTATAAAGGATCCAGGTAAAACAGAAAGAGGAACATCGCGTTCTGACCGCCGTGCGCTCTACAAAAAACACGGGATTGGTTAGCTGCATTATTCTGAAAGCAACCAAAGAAGAAGCGAAGCACTATAAATTCGGATTCAGTTTTTGCTTTTCCCCAAGCTTCGTATTTATCGTAGCTTCGTAGCTTGTTTATACGTATTTCTGAAAAGGAGGCTCGGTGCTATGTCTCTTATTCTAAGATACAAAAGGAGCAATTCAACTTTGATACAACAGAGCCTGCCTCACGTACAGCGCCTAGGCATCTGGCGCTGCTCAATATGCGATTGATGCTCTACGTTAAAATATAAAGTACTTCAGCTTTATGTTATTATTCGATACCAGTTTGTTTATTTACTTACTTACTCAATATAGTTGAATTCATGTGACCGTCCAACCACGGGATTCCGGTAAAACTGATTGTATCGCCGCTGAAGATGCCGAACTCCGGGCTCCTGACGGTTGCTGGCGATGTGCGGCTGTGGCACCCTGACGAGATCATCGGCACTGCTGAACATCGGTTCCGATGCGTAATCCTTAATACCGTGCTGATTCTTTAGCGCGCGTTCTAGTAGCTCATCCGCCGTGTCCAGAATACGCGGCTGGTCAGGCTTCTTGCGGACGGGAGCATTCTCCTTTTCCCGATGGATGGTAGGCGGGATGACGTTGTGCTCGCTGTCGTACACAGGTACAGTTGGCTTCTTAACGTTGAAATTCATTCCGGTGACGATATCCCGGATGCCACCGGTTAACGCGGCTAAACGGTCGGCAGCTTCTGTACCTATGGATAAGCGAGCCGGTCGCACGAGATCTTCGATGTTGGTGCTTTGTATGGCGAAAGTGCCAAAGGGAAGGTTCTCAGCTTCCACGGAGAATTCGTAAGGAACCTATAATGCAAAAGTTCAACAGCTGCTGACTATGGCTCATCAGTTTTACATAATATTGTAGCATATTCTTCTTGCAAACGTCAGGGTTCAAGGCTTAGCTAGCCAGTAGTATACCTAGATATTTTGCAGCGCATGCAACACCAATTTAGTGCTTAACTATTAGCAAATGGATTAAACCGATTTCTTAAAAGATTCGAATTTTTAAAACAGTCTTAATTAGCATTGAATTTTCAAAATGTTATTGTAGCTACGCATAACTGCACTATAAATATTACAAACAGCTTTTGATTGAAATAACTACAACTACAGAGTTGTGTTTATCGCCGTTGTGCGGATGCAAGGAACCAGTAGCAACAGTTTCTTTTCGTCATTTTCTTCCGGTTTTTTCTAATTCATTTACTCCCTTACCTGCGATAGTTTGAATCTTCTGGGTCGCAGACGCAGATCGAACTCCTTTTCTTCCGCCGCCAGTTCAGCCTGCGCCTGCTCCTCCAATTTTTGTATCAGGATTTGCAACGTCGTCAGTGTGTTTTTAGACAAGGGCGGCTCCGTGACCTCTTCCACTATATCGGATCCCAGTCTCTCCAAATCGGCGATCAGATTCTCCACGGACCGCACCGTGGCCTCATCGATACCCGCCACGTCCATCACGCTATTTACGTGATCCCGCAGTTCCGCCATCTTGACTCCTTGTTCTTCCAGAAAGTTAATCAAACTCTTGACTGAATCCGTCAAAGCGGGCGTGAGAGAATGCGACGACTCGGCTACTTTCACCAAACTCCCTACTAACCGTTTCGCGTAATCATCGATGTTGAAGCTGGGTGAATAATCCACTGAATCTTCTCTGTAATCCGCCAAGTCGATGTCACTGGCTGATGGACCAATCACCGGGATCACCACTTTGGGAACAGCCAGCAACGAAGATTTCAGTGCTGTTAACGTTTCTCGTGGATGGTCGATTGTTTCCAACATATCATTTACGATTGCGCGAGCGGTTGATAAAAGGTCAAAAGTTGACGATGCGGATGCTATAACCTTTGCAGGAGATTCGAGTAGTCCATACGGTCCTGTGTCGTCGTCAGGTAGGTCGATTTCGTTGATTACGGAATCAAGCAGCAAAGCGGCTGCCTCGACCGTTGTTCTCGGCTCTTCAGCTTGATCTCTTGAAGAATCTACGATGTCCTCTACAATCGCTTTCGCATTCTCCACATTTGTGCGACTCTCGCGGATCATAATTTTTGCTGCTGTCTCGATCTCTTCAACAGCGTCTAAAGTGACTGCCGCGGTACTGCGTCTGTCCGGTGCATTTGCCGCATCCACCAACTCTGCTACGATTTCTTTAGCTGTTTCAATGGTACCCCGCCTCTGCTCCTCGTTTTCTATCGCTTCAGTATCCAGTTGATTAACCAGAGCAGTGATAAACATCTCCGTTGATTCTTGTTCCGGTAGAACTGGCGCTCCTCCTTCCGCAAAGCTAGGAGCCGATTGCCGTAGCCCATAGATAGGATCATCTGAAGTGGTGCCGCCAAGGTCAATGTCACAGTTGGAGTACCTCGCGGCCACTCGGTCAAAGTCGGTGATCTTTTTGAACCGGTGAAAGATATCAGTTTCGTAGTAATGGTTCAGATAATCCCAATCAATATTGGCAGTTGTTAAGCCGATGAAGCCGCGGATGGTGTCTTGCGTATCCTAGTAAAAATAAACGACCTGTTAGAATGATTAGTGTTTCAAAAACTGTGAAAATGTAAGTCTAGAACGACAATATAAAATGTTGCACGTAATCCTAATTCCTAAGCGGATGCTGACTGACATGCGATCTCGAAAGTGCGTGCACGGTGCACTGGTTGTACAGGTAGAACAGACAGCATACGAATAAATGGATGGAAGTAGACGAAAGCCTCACGAGAAATTGTTGAGATACGAGATAAATAGATAGCCTAGCATTTAAAACAGCGTACATATTTATTTAGCAAAGTTGCGAGAAGAATTACACTACAGTGCACTAAGATCTGATTGCAGTTTTATAAAGCAAAACTGTGTTCCCAAGCTTATTACAATTCGGTACTGTCTACCTCATCGTGTGCACTGAGTTCAACACAGAACATAGAACAACATAGAACAAAATACAATATAGAACTTTCAGCATCGGGAAAATTAATAGTGCATGCAGGACAAAAGAACCCAAAGAAGGAACGATAGAAAAAAATGCGACGCAGAAAAGCTTTCGGTTGTATCGGAGCATATTCCCACGCATAACATTCCTGGGAACTGATTTCCGCTACGTGATTTTGTGATAAATTATAAGAAGTATGCGGCTTCTGCGTTAAGCAGATAGAATGTGGCAAAGAAGCAAATGAAGGGAAGAACAGGCAACGGAAAGCCCCTTGGTTTTGTAAGAGTATAGAAAATCGCAGAGTAATCTACCTTAACGACAAAGCACTTGGTATCCTTACTCTGCGGACTGGCCCTGACAATCTTCTCCAGCCATATCTCTCCAACTTCCCTCCGCACCTTCTCGTGAAGCCTTCCGAACCATCCAATAACATGAGGAACGTCATCGTATCCCGCTTCTCGGATCTCCATTCGGGGAAACACATATTCCTTTCGACAAATGCCCACACAAAACTCCGCCGTTCCGTCTGTATATGTAATCCATGCTGGAAACCATTTCTGGTAAACACAGTCGAGTTCGCTGCCTTCCGTGACGACTAAGCAGTAATCCAACTCCGGCTGCAGATGGAAGAGGACCGTGAGGGATTCTTCCAAGATCTTAGGATAGGAGGATGGCTCGGAAAGGAATGCACTGAGAAAGATAGTGTTCCCATTAGAGAAATATTTCGTTGGTAGAGAAGACTGAAGGATGTCCGACCAGTTTGGGATATGCGAGAGAACACGGGTGGGGATGTCGCTGAAGGCGGCGTAACCGCAGATGTGCTCAAAGCGCTTGGTCTGTTCGATCACGGTAACGGAGTACAGGCTGTTCTCACTGCAATGCAGAGAAATCATGAGCATGCAGTCTATTGTATTTTAGTTATTTATACTCGTACCTTTTAAAATGAAGTAGTACAAGTAAAAACAAGCTCGGCCAAAGGAAGCCAAAGTAACAAAATAAAATTGCTAAAAATATTGAAAATCCGAAACGAATGTGAAGCATACTGATCAGTTTTTTAAAATGAAAATCTTCAGAGCATATGCAGTATTCACAAGAATTTCTCAATATAACGCATAATAATTATATCGCGTTAACCTGTCATCTCCATTTCTAATAATAAACAAAAATGAAACTGTACAAGGCGCCTTCAACAATCGGGGCACAACGAAAACCGAAGATTAAGATTTTGCGGGTTTTGAGAAGGAATTTTTGCTTACAGTAACTGCTCAAGACGTTGACGACCAAACCTCCCTGCGTTCCATTGCTCCTCGCTCAGCGTCTGCAAAACTGATATATCCGCATATTCTGTTCTGCGAGCCTTAAATCGACTGTAGACCTTTGGTCCTTTAGTTCTGTAATGTGATACCCGTGGCGCTGACTCTGATACATTGTCGTTATTCTTCATAGCCCGCGAAGTACTATTCATCTATGCTAAATCCCACGTTTTTGCCACATGCCTGACACCACAGTTGACAGCATGCCAGCGTTGCCTGGGAACTAAAACCTCAAACCGGAAGCGATCTACTATAAATGGTAAAAAGTTTATCAAAAAATAAGCCGTCTTGTATTTCACTGGTCTTCACTAGAGACAGCTACAGCTTTAGAAATCGATGCTTTTGTTTCTAGACACGCAGTTCAGCTAGGAAGTTTTATATTCCAATAAATTTATTAATTTAATTTACTGGGCAGAAGAGCAATAACTTACTGATGTATGTTTTGTCAGTTTTCCTTTATCGTCATTGTGTTTCTGCAATTCTGGTTTAATGGTAATCTCTTTGACACTTACTGTCAATCAAAATTGTGTGACTCTGGCTGATTATGTGTTCTTGTAACTTGCAGTTAATCAAGTACGCCCACTAACTTGCTACAAGTGTACCGGTTCGGTTGGGTCCACGTGTGACGTTTCCGTTAACGATCTTGGTATATTCCTGGATTTTAAAATGTTAGCAATTTGCAATAAATATTGTTCTTTTGATGCCTGCAGCTTCCGCCAGTGCTCAGACAAGCTGTGACAAAGTCTGCAGGACAGAGTATTTTGAGGTCATCAACGCTCCACTAAGCAATCGTAAGTCAAAGTATACTGCAGAAAACGTTGTATGACTTCTTTTTGCATTCTGGCATTTTTTCCTTTTTCTTGTCATCATTAACTCCGTTTTCGAGTTTTTGTTCTACATTAATTGCTAAAAATTGCTCGGACAACAGTAAAGCATCGAAAAAACCGTCAAAAGCAATTTTTTAAATGCCGGTCTCAATTTTTCAAAATTTGACCATACCTTGTGGCTCAGAAAATTTCAGTTCCATAACAAATTTGAACTTTATTATTCTGAGAAAGTTATTTCCTGGTCTACGTACTAATCATTAGTACAGTAACTAGACCAGGAAATAACTTTAGTAACTAATTTTGAGGTAAAACCCTAAGAGTAAACTGTAGCGGGGAAGCCGTATGGTTAAAGAACAATCTCAGCAATCCAAACATTCGTGTTTTGTAGCTTTTAGCCGGAGCTGTGCCTTGATCATGGATACGACCGACATCCCCATCCCGCAAAACGCCTCCATGTACTGCGAGAACTGGAACAAGAACCGTGACGCCTGCATCTGTCAGCAGGATCTCTGCAATGGGCTTTCCTACGAGCAGTTGGAAAGGTTGATGGCCGCTATCCCCATACAGACGAACAAACTACCAGGCAGACGTGTAAGTCTACTACATTGTACTGTGGCCGGTCGTTTCTAACGGTGAACAAGCTTGGGAAATTATTAGTAGTTCTTCACAGCCGAAGAAGCCAAGCAGTTAATCAAGGCACCATGGGTCGCCAATATGTCTGGTATGTTCGGGTCACACAGTGCGCTGATTACAAACCGATTGTAATGTCAATTTATGGGTTGTAACAGACGATATTAACGATAAAATGGGCGGCGCACCGGCTATGGGAAGGACCAGATCAGGTATATAGCATGACATACTGTAAGCAGGTATTAAGCTTTTACTGACAAGTGAGTTGTACCGTATCAGTTGTTGCGAGCTTGTTAGAATCACTCGATTACAGAACATTAAGGCATCTTTTACATCAGTTCTCGCACGCATATGCTACATACTTAAATAGCCGAGCCGTTAGACATAAAAGGTTGCATACTGCATGCATATCCGCAATAGTTCTTTTGATTTACGTTGATTTATTGCCACGTGATGTACTTCCTGTAGGAAACCAAACATCAGCTCGGAATGCCACGTCTTCTGTACCGCGTCTTGGTATGCGACTTCTGTAATTTTATTCAGTTTGATTTTTTGGAACGAGCTGCGATGGCAGACACCACAAAACGTAATAGCTGCTATAAACGAACGAGCCAGTACGATTTTGTTGACTTCAGCTGGACCGAATAGTAGCACGAATGTTGACAATTATAGTCGTTGTTATACGGAGTAATAAGACGCAGAAGCCGTTTCAAAGGCATGCCCAGCGTGTCATGGCACAGCAACAATGCAGCCGAAGACCAAAACGCAGCGATTTTCTTAGCTTCCATGTTCTTCGCAGTTTCTTGCCGCAAAAAATGTCGCAAATGTTCCAAATTCGCACGGCTAATTCCCTTGTACACGGAATCAGCCAGCGCACTGGATTCAGTGAATGGGTATATATGTTTACATAAAAAACCAAAAATATAATTTGTATATTTGGCATCTACATTATTCTTTTGACCCCGGCCCGAGAATGTGGGGCAAACTATTTGCGCAGTCAGTGCACCGAAACGAGGCGGTTCCATAAATCGCTTGTTGAAACATTTCGTTCATTTGGCTAGCGGGATATTTTGTAATTTAGCAGGATCGCGAAGAATGTCGATGGAAATGATCGTGATCGTTGCCGGCGTTTCGGTGGTATGCCAATTCCTTCGCGTCCGTGATAAACTGCAAATCTGCAAATCAAGTAATTTTTGCCAGGTGTTTGCCAGGTTATGATTGGCGGAGTTATGTTCGCCAGCACACGACAGTGTCGCCAGAGCTCAACTAAAGGAAGAGCTTGATGGGAATTCGATGGTACACGCTGAGTGCAATATTATGTTTAGAAATATTAGTCTAGTGCGTACGTTGTGATGTTGATTATTGAGAATTTACATTCTGGATTTTTTATAGATTCCTCAACTCAGTAACCGTTTATTGTTGCGTCTAGTGTGATGTGAGGTGTTGGTGTGTTTACTTTCATTTCGTGCAGCGTATATTTTTCTGTCAAACCAGACAACTGCGACATAAATCGACATAAAATGTGGCTACCAATCCCTGAGTATTGCATTTCGGTATTCACGGTGGCTCTAGAATATTTTTGCACAACAGAAACAGTTAAACAATTTTTCTAAAAATGCCACCGGAAACGGTTTGGCTGAACATAATAAATACTTAGCAGTTAGCAGCTATTGTTTCATTCGGGCAGTAGATTCCGGTGAGAAAATAGCTTAATCCACATACGAACGCTTTTACACAGCTTCAGATAAGTATCTGCATACGGAGTGTTACTAGTGGCGCACCAAGTGGCGCACCAAGCCATCTGGATCTTATTGAAAATTTCGCCTGGCAACTTATCGACTAATACACACCTTGCATATTCTATGTCAATCAACTATCTCACGTTGGGAAAATTAAGTACTTACGGAAAACTTCTCACATACTTACTGGTTTCTGAATTCAGTTGACCCTATCCTTCCCATAGAATTTTGTAGATTCGAACCGTTCACCATCACCATTTCTGATGACGAACATGAAATTTGAATTTTATATTTAGGCAAAACCGATCGGCTTGATTTAAAAAATTTGGATAACCGTTACTAGTCGCACGCACTCTCATAATCAAATGGTTTCGCGAGTTTCAGTTGGCTTTGTATGTGTGATCTCGGTCGGATTTTTCTGTGGCCCGTAGGAATACTTGTTGGCTTGTATGTATTGTCATTTCGAGGTAATAACAAAGCGTACAGTAGGCGACTTGGGATTTCTCATACTATTACGTTATACCACTAGCCGCATAATTATTATATTTTGTTGGACAGTGATGAGATGCGGAGGAAGTGTGTGCACGGCTTGTGAGGATAGTTCGGACAGCCCTTGCTCCGCTGGACCTATACCGCAAAGTAAGCTAGCACGCCGAAAGTATATCGTTTTAATTGTCCGACGATGTAGCTGGAAAACACATATATTTATTGAAAATTATTGATGCTAATTTTGGTTGTTTTAAAGTTGGTAGTGGTTTTTGGGATTTTGATTGTTGTACACGTTCTGGATGAGTTATATCGCGTGTAAATTATTACATAATCTAGTACTGCACCCGAAATTGCTTTTGCTGTGTGAAGTAGCAGATCAACAACTCACATAAGCTTTACGTTTTTCTGATTAGTTTTCTGCCGAAATCTCTGCTTACTCAACGCTAACGCCATGGCTTGTTAAAGACAAAGTACAGAGTAGTACAGGATTCTACTCTGTACTTTGTCCTGGATGCCTTTTGCAAAAGTCTTATCTTGCAGCCGTGCCAAAAGCGTGCTACCAGGGGTACTGTGACGTGCGCATTTATTTGAAGGATACCGGAGGCTACAGTACGTCAACGGTAAACAGCCTGCATGCGGATACTGCAAACCGTCTCGGGTCAACAGTGTGAATCTATCGATAATAATTTCTGGCTGCTGTTCTGCCTTCAGTGCAGCTTAAAAGATCCAATCCGCTACCCGATAATCAGATGCCTTTTCGTTCAGATCTTATCCGCGGATGTCCGAACGTTGGCGAAAAAGTTCGCACTACAGATAGGCCTCCCAATGGCACAATGGATTGCTATTTCATCGGACTGCCCTACGAATGTGTGTGCAGCTACGACGGCTGCAACAACATGCTATACAACCAAGTTATGAAGTTGAAAAGATTTCATGATAATGACCAAGTACGACGGTAATGCCATTTCTCCTCTTGCTGCTACGTGCTTCAGTTAAACATTTGCTTCAGTGCGGGGCAACGCATGATTGTACAAGTAGCTACCGTTCTTGCGTACAGCGAATCATCACGAATACATTACGACCACGGCTGTGACAGTTTTCTTTTTACAAATGAATTTGTTTATTTCCCTTTGCTGGATAGCAAGCTATGACTTATACTCAATGGCGCATGAACAAAGAGGACGTCGATTACCTTATAGCGCTTCCGGACGGTCCGGTTCCTCCTAGTCTGCCATCAAGGACCGAATCGACACCTGCGCTCACTTTTCCTCCCGAAACATACCCAGGAGCAACTGGTTAGTAATGGTTTCATTGCTCCCTTACAACCAGTTGGAGTCATGACAAGTTTTCGACCTTCTTCAGAAAAGGAAGGAGGAGCGGCCGCACAGGGCAGAGCGGTGAACGGTAAGAGGCTTAAGGTACTTCGAAGTTATGTAAACGCATTATAAATGACGCATATTCTCTTTAGCCACAACGACCCCTATCCCTGCACAGAAAGGTAAAACACTGCGCGCTATTGTGTGTGCCTTTTTGGGTGGTTGAATGCGGCAACTGTTAATCGCGGCTTTTATGAGTAGAAACGGGAGGATTGTCTACAACGACAATTGCAATTATTGTTGGATTGGTTCTGGTAATACACACATCATTGTTTCATAGCTGTTATTTACTGTTCTGGCGTGCTGTGAGGAGATAAGACTGTGTATTATATTTAATTAGGTAATTGCGCTGATTATCCTATTTATGGTCTGGCGGATGACACGTAATAAAAAGAAAAAGAAGAGAAAGTCGGATGACGAGGATGAAGAAGATGAAGATATTGCATGAAAGATTCTTTCCAAGAGGCTGATGCAAAAAATGTAAACTGTTTTTTTTTAATTTTTAGGTTGAATATTTTCGGTAATGTACTTGGTAATCTTTGTGTTTAAAATGTGTCTCTTCAAACACTACGATATTTGCGGTCGTACATGAGATAGAATTTCGCTTTTTTGATAGCTTTGGTGCAGGTTAATTTTCCTTGATGCACAGTAGTTCGTAATTTATGTCGTAATATAATACACGAGTAAATGTTGTGGACTGTGAAGCGTTTTTCCTGCACGTAGTTGTACCCTACTTGATTTACGTATGTCTTTATATATTCATACAATCTTACCGACCAAAACATATTTATGCGCCGTTTTTATAGACTCGTCAACGCGTGGTCAGTTTTAGTCCAGCTTGGTCTTAAAAAATTCCATATTTTCCATAGGTTTGCCAATAGATTTTTGTTTTTTTTTTATTAACCAGTGGTCAGAAGATGGTTTCACCAGGTCTTAAGTATGGGAAACGTAAAGAGCACTCGAAAAAGTATTCACTGCACAGCGATTAACAGTACTTACGATTAACATAATGAGTGTAACCACGGAGACTATAGCGGATGCATAAATACTTGCTCTTTAGGTAAAATATGTATATTACAGTACGTCATGCAAAAGTCCATAAGTATTTCAGAGCGTCAAAACGTCAAATTTAAAACGTAAAATCGTCAGAACGTCATGACGTCAGAACGTTAGAATATCAACGCCAGAACGTAACAACGTCAGAACGTTAGAACGTCAGAACGTCATAGAGTAAGAACATCAGAACGTTAGAACGTCAGAACGCCAGAACGTTAGAACGTCAGAACGCCAGAACGTAACAACGTCAGAACGTTATAACATCAGAACGTCATAAAGTATGAACATCAGAACGTAAGAACGGCAGAATGTCAGAACGTTAGAACGTCAGAACGCCAGAACGTTAGAACGTCAGAAAGTTATAACATCAGAACGTCATAAAGTATGAACATCAGAACGTAAGAACGGCAGAATGTCAGAACGTTAGAACGTCAGAACGCCAGAACGTTAGAACGTCAGAACGCCAGAACGTTAGAACGTCAGAACGCCGGAACGTAACAACGTCAGAACGTTAGAACGTCAGAACGTCAGAACGTCATAAAGTAAGAACATCAGAACGTTAGAACGTAAGAAGGCAGAAAAGTTAGATCGTCAGAACGTTAGCACGTCAGAACATCAGAACTTTATAACGTGAAAAATTAAAATTGTCAGAACGTCGGAAATTCCGAATGTCAGGCTTCATAATTATATTTATAATGACCTTTCCAAAACAAAGCCAATATTACCCAGTACTTAAGTGCCGAGCGCGGATGCGCGAGGCTACCTTGTACATAGTTAAGCTTTTCACTGCTTCTTGCAGTTAGATGCTTTTAAATTTTAACTGTTAAAGCTGCATTCACTAAGACATTAAAAATTTTTTTATCGACAGCGCAATCTCTGCATGCTGCTGCAGACTTGTACGTTGCCATGCGCCATGCGGTACCTTGTCCATAAGAACGTAACAGCTTTCAACGGTTTATTATAAACAGTTGCTGTTAAAAGCTGCTCTCATCCTTATGGACCGGGTATCGCATGACAACGTACAGGTCTGCTTCGTAGTTCGTATCTGTATGTATAGAAGTGCAGTACTCGATGCCTGTTTACGTTCGACAAAAAAAACGATGATCTGTGTTGTATTCGGCAACAGCTAGTGCACAATGCACATATCAGTAAGTTTCCGTAGATAAATTAATAAAATTTTATACATTGAAAAAACGCCCAAAAGCATTAATGTCATTCAAGATCTTACGACGTGCACTCAAAGTGCACTAAACACAGCTGCTGCGTTTCCCTTACTACCGCAAGGCTTAATCGCTGTCTTAGAAGCAATTAGGTTTCTATTGCTAACGCCGCAGGTGCTTTGCACGCCCTTTTTCTACACAAGATTTTGCAATGTGGATTGATAGCCGAATAGCTGTGTTTCTTTGCTGTTGTGTTCTCCGCCTGATGCTTGGGGAAAAACTATCCGGTGACCCGTAAAGTAGCGGTGCCATGGCTTCTTCCAGATGCTTAAAATAATAAGGATGTTTTTTCCATGGATACTGCTGTGTGTTAAAATTCGCAGTGGTTATGCGTGCATGTGCGTTTAGTAGGTGAAAGTTTTCGTTTACGTACAGCGGTTGTCTGTAGAAGTACTGTACTGCGAGTACAACTGTACACAGCTAGCAGCTAACAGTGTCATAATGACTTATGGTTAGATTTGCCTCAAAGACCGATGACTTTTGACTTTGAACGATATACGGCGTCAAATACATATACGGCATGTACCGACCACCCCTTTGTGGCGCGCTATATGGCGGAATGCTAATCCCACAACAAATTTGAATACGTGGGAGATCGATGATTCAGTATAAACACTCCAAAGTGATCGCGATCTTTAAGACATACCAAAGCACTGGGTTCTTCCTCTGTTCTTCAGCAAATTAAATATGCAAAGTTAAACGGCATCCCATAAACAAAATAATAGTATCATCTAAAAAATCAAGCATCGTTGAGTACCGACCGAGCGACAATGCCGATTAATCTCAGCCGAAGTACACAGTATTAGGCTATTAGCCAATCGGGGAAGAAAAATGTCACTGCTATTTATTCCGCCCGCGTTTGGTTAGTTCTCGGACTAAACTGTTACTGTAACGCCCCAGCTTCACTTAACTGGAGGTCAATCGCAGCCCACCACACGCATAACGGCGCATTTGATTAGGTAACTGAAACTTATCAAAAATTCAGGAACTTTGCGTTTGGTACTTGGTATACAGTCAGTGACATCCGAGATTTCGAACACAAGATTCACCTTCACTTTGAGCTGAGATTGAGCTCACTTCGAGCTAATTGCCCGTTCGCCCCGTACTTAGGCTTTATGACGAAAAACGAGGATTACCAAAGTACTTTGCGCCTCATCGTAAAAGAGCCCAACAATACTCATCAAATGAAGCAATAAAAATTAAAAACTCATTAACTAAAAAAAATACTCAAGCAGTAAAATACTCATTAAAAAGCATTTTATCACCCTGCTTGGGTGCTGTCATCTCGTCTAAGCCGATGCAGCATGGAGCATGGAGCCCGAAAAAACATTCGGCTCATGGAAAAATGAGCTTGTCTCAGCATTTTGGTATGATGGACAAACATACGCGAAAAGGAGATATGGGAAGCTGCGTCTAATTACATGCAAGTTGATGCAACTAGCGTTTGCTCTAGCAACATTGGTGGGCGAGCGTATGCTTAAAGCAGATCAAACAGATGCGTCATATTGCTCGTCCTACAAGCTTTTGCTCTAATAATGGGTTTACGAAACAGCACATTCCGTATTTTTAGTTGCAAACGATTGCGGTAATCTCTCACACAAGGCCGGTCTGCTTAAGAATATCTTGTTTGTTTGGCATGATCTGCAGACTTGCTTATAACACTGCAGATAAATTCCATGTACTTAATTGTTTTCAAGACATTCCCGTCTTGCCGAGCCTGTTTTTGGCCGCTTAGAATCGTTTTGGTTATAAAAGATCAGACAAACGCGATTTGCGGTTTCGGAGTTTGTGCTCGGTATTATTAATTACCACGCCAAAGGTTACGTGGCCGATGGCAGTGTTGTTTTTGTTTGAGGCGCGAATAACACAAAAGCTACAAAACCAAAGCACCTTTGAGGAAACAAATGTAGACACTACCAAACGCTTAATAAGCGGCACAAACTCGCTATGGTTTTCGTACGGGCGATCGATAACATTATGCACTGAAAAGCCAACAGCCGAATATTTGCGCAACATCGCAAGTAACAAACCATTCCAAACTATAATGGCAGCGATAAAATTAAACAATGTTATATTTTTGCTCGCTATTAATCTATTGTCGAATAAAACTGGAATCGGCACGGCTTCTTTCTACGATGCGGTAGATGCCGTGGTTCTTTGCACTGACTGCACATCTTCTTATGCCGCTGCGCTGCTTGCTAATTTTCCAAAGGCAGCTCATTTTATAGCGCTAAAATATCACACAGAAGGCTTTTATGGAAAGCACCCAAATCAAATTTGCCATGGCGTCCGTCCGGCAGGCTATAGATGCAAGCCTTCCTTCAAGTTCTATTGCCTTTTCCTTCCCGTCATCTGGAGCATTGCATAT